CAAACAACAACATATGTCGACACTGCGGCGCTGTAGTCATTATACCGAGGGAAGTACGCCAGATGCGTAGTGGAGTTGATATACTCGGTCTTGTGAAGGCATGTGCGATGCTATAAATTATGGAGCATCGCGAGACGAAAATTGAATGAAAGACCCGTTGGAAAGATTGGGCCTGAGGTGGCCCTTTTCAGACGCGTTCGTGTAGCCTCGGCCTTGCATGAGCCCGTCGAATTGTTAGGCCAGCTGGCGTCGCTCGATACACATCTTGACACACTAAGGAAATGCGTCACAATTGGTAACAATTGCAATGTGCCTCAGTGTACGAAGTACGTGTCCCCGTAACTTTGTCGCAATGAAGATCGCCTATTGCTTTTGACGAGTACTGTGTATTCCAGAGCTGGAGAAGCCGAGAGGGCACGCTACTGCTCTATTCTGCAATGTCTAGAAGACATGCTTGCCTCTTCCTGCACTGAGTTGTTCGTGTACCTCCTCAACCCAGCGACGTGTTTGTTCTCAGGTTAGTTAACCACAGTTTATACTCCTTGATGGGGTGCGACATGGGAGGATATTCGACTTCGAGACACCCCTTTGAGCACGCCTTCTTGAAAGCAGCAGCAACTATCAGTAGCGACGTAAACTACCAGACCAGAAACTACATTACACCCGAGACACTGGCGGACATGGCCACCATGCCGTGATGGCTTATGTATATCCCTCCTGTTGGTAAGGACAAGTCTGGGAGGAGAGCCGTATGTTGAACGCTCGTGGGCAGGTGCGTTTTACCCATTTCGAACATGACAAAAAGACGCCACTCTAGATATGGAGCACCTTCGACGATCATCCAGTAGTTAGCCATTGTACCCAAACCTTAATTGCACCCAGTCAGTACTGTACCTGTCCGACGCGAACCCTCTCCTCCGTACATACATTGCTGATTCCTACGAACAGTATCTCATCACCCAGACAGACCAGATTGCCCAGATGAACATCCCAGGATAAGCCAACGCCCTGGCTGGGGGAATCCGGATATCGCCATTGCCTTTTGGTGCACGCTAGCCAGACGCTAACTACCGGGAGCTTGCTGGCATAATACCCAGGTGCTGTACACGGTCCCCAGATGACTGTACTACTAGGTGTGGTAGGCAGGTGGTGTTTGGTAACTTCACTACTTACACAGCGTGTCGCTACTCCAGAGTCCGGCCTGATGTATGCCAAAGATCTGAGGCGCGCAGGCCCTAATGCTGGCAGCGGAGTCGGGCATTGGCGCTGGAACGGAGATGTCATCCCCGAACTATTACGTAGGAACGCAGGATGCGCTCATCTGAAGTAGCTGTCGGGATCGAGGAGAAGGGAGAAGGACCTCGAAGACTTCAGACGACGCTGGGACCAACTACGGAGAAGCCGGCCAAGTGATTGGAAATGAAGAGACCCGGCGGTTGACATCATTACCCAAAGCAAGGGAGGCAAGCGACATTGTCTCCGCTATCGACTGATGAGAAGAAATCTCTCTGGCTTCCATTTCTTTTCCTGTTTTGTTTTGATCGAGCGGCCATTGGCCAATCATAAGCGGCGGCGACTCATTTTGCAGAGACATGGCCCATAGCCACCCGTGCCATCCTAGCTCCGCCGGGGGCACCCTTCCAGGGCTGCCATTCCCAGCTTTCTCAGCACTACCTACCCGGGCTCCAGTGGGCTAGGCAGGGCCCTAGGCCGCTCGGCGAAGAGACACCAGCTTGCCTCGCTTGCTAGTGGACGGGTGCTGTAAAATTACAACAACAATACTATGTACAAGCGTGGAAAGAGTTTTGATGGTGGCAGATCACACATGCCAATATTGACTTTTGACCGCGTCGGGCGTGTCTGGTCGTCCAGCCCTCTGATGCGTGATCGTGTGATGCTTTTTCCTTTCGGCGGATGGCACGCAAGTGTCCAGATCCCAGATTATGTACCTACTTTTACCTAGTTCCCAGATCGATGCACTTGTATAATTGAACGCGTCAAACGCTGGTGCTTGATATAATAGCCTGCGAGCGGTCCACGGGTACCACTGAGTCGACCTCCAGAGCTCAGGTGGGAAGCTGCCTGGAATTCGGAATTCCCACATGCAGACAGGGCTCCCTCGTCCTCCGCCAGCCTGCCCAGGTGGACGGTAACGGAACTTATCCAGGTACCGAAGCTTCCCATCTCACCCCGCACCGGATTGCACCCGTCGCGAGCGAACGGCCGACCGTCCAGGCCCCATAACTATCTGCCTTGGGTTACCAGTCAGCCTGTCGTGGGGTGGCAGTCCGAGGGAGTGAATAAGGCTGCGCGGGCGACGAGAAGCGTCCCTCTCCCTCTCCCTCTCCCTCGTCATCGGCAGCGACGGCGATCTGCACACGCGAGACACACGGTCTTGTCTCATCTGGCAGTGCTAACTTACAGACCGTGCTGACCTGCCTTCCCGCCCGACGCGTGCAAGGGAGCTGCCGAGTGCTACACACGACTCAGGCGCGTGCATATTGGCCGGCACTCACCAAGACGGCAGAGCGCACGCGAACCGCGATATTGGACTCTATTGAACGGTAGTAGCCACCGCGGCCAGCTCCCAGCAGTGCGATCACGTCCCGTGCCGCTGTGAATCGACGACAGCTAAACCCCCCCTTGCGTCTGGCACGGTGGTCGCATGCTTGCTCGTTGGCACAAGCTCACCCCGGAGTGAGGTCACATCTCAGCACACACACAGCATTTCCCGCCTTGGGTGGCCGATTGGCCAACTGTGCCATTCTCATTTTAAAACCACGGCGGAATTGCCCAGCCTGCTCCCTGACGGACCAGGATCCGAAGTGCATACACATCTTCAAGGGCAGCCGACGCATGCGCACAAGCACGCAAGCACGGGTCGCAGTCTGACAGGGCCGTCACAAGTTCGCGGTCGAATCCAATTACATGCCATAGAATTTGTGCTGTGAGCGCATTGTGCAACCAACCGGGGCGATCCAGTCAGTGTCTGCGCCGGCTGTTCTCATCAGCGTTTCGCCAAGGCACCCCAGCCCAGACCTGCGCCAGGTACAAGCGCGCCGATGATCAGTGGGCATTCGAGAGCGAAGCACCAGCCCGGTACCAGAATTTTGGAAGAGCGCACCCAGGAACCGCCAGGGGGGTACCCCCCAAATGCATGTCCGCGGAGTCGAGCTTCACTGCCAGTCTCTTTCTTTGTCCTTTACCGCAATCGAGCGCCGTGCCCCTTTGAACGTTCAAAGGCATTGCCATTGATCGCACCCGCTGAAAGAAACGGCGGCCGGTCTGGTTTTCGCCCTGCGTTGCGCTGGCTGGCAAGCTGGCGTGTGGACGAATGGCCATGTCGGACGAGACGGGGCTCCTGGCGGAGCCGGCCCCCGGTACTAATTCAGAGGCTGCAACGTCTGTTCGCGGGCCAAGTGTAAGACGAGAGCGGAGCCTGAAGTTCAGGGAGTTTGGGCTCTACGCCTCAAGAGTCTCATCAGCAACAAAACCCACAGCGCCGGCACCACCTGTTCCAGCCGCACTGGATCCCAACTCCTACTGCGTCGATGAAGGCGACGATTCCGACTACTCGACGACCTTCACCTCTCCTTCCCCATCGCCCTATTCCACCGCCACCTACGAGACAAACTCGACCCAGTACGAGCCAGCTCCTAGATCCCCCATTTCACCACGATGGGACTCGCTGGCTCATAGCACCACCGTCCTATATGACCGCGCATACGATGATCCCGCACCTGGAACAGCTTTAGCCACCAGCTCTCCAGTTCCATCCACCCCGACCAGATCCGAGCACCCCAACCACACCCTTGACTTCCTGGGTTCCGAGTCGAGGGATGCGTTCCCGCTTCCCATGTCGAGTCCTACCACCAAGATGAGCACCTACGAGGGTCGACCGGTTGTCGGAGACTCGCCTGTTGTCGAAAACTTCTCTCGGCCCCGGCGGCCAAGTATCAAGCACCCTTCCCCGGACTCCCTCCGGCAGCGTGCGACCAATGTACCTGCGACCCACCCCGACCAGACGCACCTGGATACTCTTAGCACTCCTCACCATCACCTGTGGCCTCGAGAGCGAGGCCAGTCAATCTCGTCGAACAAGTCCGCCTCCACGTTTGCCTCGCTGCCTGTCCGACCCTCACCCGATCTCCACGCTCGTGACAGCCTTCGTGGGAGAAGTAGACATGCATATCCACCGTTGGCTCGACCGGCAATCGCGTACGGTCGCACGGAGAGCAGTGGGCCTGCATTCTATCGCGACCCTATCCCGAGGATGGCTTCGCTGCCGTCCGAGGAGCTCAGGTCCAGCTTCAGATCCCAGCTCTCGGCATCCACTACACCGGGAACATTGCAAACGGAGCGGAGCAGCGTTATGACCAAGAGCAGTTCCATAACGTCCATTTACGCCCATGTTGACGACGGCTTCAGCGTGGACGACGTGATGGGAATGTACGAGAAGGGCTTTCGTGACGACTCACCGGCTCGGACTGACCAACTAGACGATGACTCGAGGCCGCCGACGGCAAAGTCAGAGCTTAGCCGGAGAAGAACTGCCATGTTGGAGGCTCTGTCGGACTCATTGCCGATACAATTTGCAGACGCAGACGAAGAGCAGGCTGGCGAGGGTGGCGCTGTTGACACCAATGCTGCAGACGATCTTGAGCCTCTGTCCGCCAACGACGATGATGGTCTGGCAGCGACACCTGATTCGGCCGCTGCCGTTGAGGCTTCCGAATTGGCTCCATTTGTAGACCACGGCCGCGGCGATACGGGTGGCCAGTCAAGACATGACTCAGGAAAGGTGATTGATAATGATGACGACGAATTCCCGACGCGGCTGCAAAAACAGCAAACACAGCCGACCGTACGGATGAGCTTTGAGAACACAGATGTCACGAGGGATCAGTACGGGTTTCGCAAAGAGAACCAGTATGTGACACAACAGCAATACGATAACTGGAATGAAGGGTACTCCGAATACATAGGGCGAAGGCGAAAGAAATGGAATGCTTTCCTCAAGGAGAATGGGTTGATGACGGATCAGCCCAACCGCTTCCCACCACGTTCTGCCAAGACGAAACGTTTTGTTCGCAAGGGCATACCTCCCGAATGGAGAGGTGCAGCTTGGTTCTACTACGCCGGCGGTCCGGCCATTCTGGCCAAACACGGCGGCGTTTACGACGAACTCCTGCGCCAGAAGGCCAAGGATGTGGACAACGAAGCCATCGAGCGCGATCTTCACCGAACGTTCCCGGACAACCTCAAGTTTCGTACCGCGAACGCATCATCGGCACCGAATACAGAGCGGACCGAGTCGAGGAGCAGTGAGACCACGGTTACAGAGCCCACGGGGAACGACCCTCGACCCAACGAAACTGCCATGATCTCGTCTCTCCGTCGGGTTCTACACGCCTTCTCCATCTACAACCCTCGTATTGGATACTGCCAGTCGCTCAACTTCCTCGCTGGGCTGCTCCTGCTCTTTACCGAGAGCGAGGAGCATGCATTCTGGCTGCTCAACATTATCACACGAGTCTACCTCCCTGGTACTCACGAGATGAGCCTCGAAGGCGCGAACGTGGACTTGGGCGTTCTGATGACCTCACTCCAGGAGTCTATGCCAGCGGTGTGGGCGAAGATTGGCGGCGAGCTTGATGGCACAGACTCGGTGAAACCCAAGTCTCGTAGACAAAAGAAGGGTACCTTGATCACACGCCTGCCGCCTGTCACTCTATGTATGACCGCGTGGTTCATGAGCTGCTTCATTGGTACGCTACCTATCGAGACGACATTGCGGGTGTGGGATGTCTTCTTCTACGAGGGCTCCAAGACGCTATTTCGCATTGCCCTGGCCATCTTCAAGCTCGGCGAGAATGAAATCCGCAGCGTGGGCGATCCTATGGAGATCTTCCAGGTCGTGCAGACTATCCCTCGGCGGCTCCTCGATGCGAATGGGTTGATGGAGGCTTGCTTCAAACGCCGTAATGGGTTTGGTCATCTCAGTCAGGATACCATCGAAGAGAGGCGACAACAACGGAGAGTCACGGTCAAGCTGGAAAAGGAGCGAATGGCCGCAGGGCTCACAGGCGGGGACGACTCCGCCGACTTCAAGAGGAAGAATACGCTCTTTGCGAAAATGAGGAGGCCTGCCGAAGTTATGTGAGCTTATCGGCATCAAGCAGATTTGGACCCTTCCCCCCTACACCGACGCACGAGCGACGACTGCATCGCGAGCCGTAGAGCATGTCTATTTGCGAGGCCTGAGAGCCCCTGAGTTTGCTCGATCCCATGCGTACACATGCAGCTGGCACCTGCGCATCCGACAGTTTCATTTGTCTTGTTCGCCACTAGTGCAGTCACCGAACGTATACCACCTCGGACTGCATCAAATTTGAGTTTCTGACGACTAATGACGGCTAAGAGCATTGTATTGGTAATGGGGCGGGTAAAAAAAAAACGAACAGAGAAGCAGTCAACATGAAGAAAAGAAAGAAAGAAAGAAAGAAGGAAAGGGGGTTGGACGTCTTCGCATTCCCAACCCATGGGCCCGCAAGCATACGAGGCTTGCGGCAGCATTGGCGCACCGAGGATTTGTTATGTATATATTCTGCATTTTCAGGCAGCATCGCAGCGTCAGACAGGCATTTGTTGCGCGCCAGCAGGCAGCTGGCTATATAGAGGGAGCATGAATGAGGTCGTACATCGCCATCATACCAAGTAGAGGAGGTCACACACTAGAGTCAATACATGACTCTTTTCCACGTCCGCAATATTGCTGCAGAGGCGACCCCTAGTCGAAATCTTTCGGGCTCATCCACCCAAACAACCACGTCCACACAACTGCATGATCGGCCCTTACACTCTGGAGTCGACTGGGTTCAGCCTGTAATCATGCTGGCATGGGACAGCCGGACTAGGAATTCGGCACTGACTTTGGAGATGCGGAACATTTAGCTGCGTAGCTACAGTAGCCAGATCGTTCATCCATGGCAAACGCAGTAAGGGAGTGAAGCCAGTGGCCTGCTGCCCCAAAGGGGCACATGATCATTCGTCATTCAATCATAAAGTATGATACCCTAAGCTGTTCAGGACCCGGTAACCTCGGTACAACGGGCGATGCGTCCTGGGGTTATCCTATCCAGCCACGGATGCCAATTTGTAGACACAGCATCGTTCAGAGGCCAACATCAAGATTTGTCCCGTTGCCTGCGTGGGGGGGAAGCAACATAGAAGGCCGGATAGCTGACCTTCCTCGTGGAGCTTGCTGGTGCTTTCACCAGCCATGCCTGTCTATCTCCACACCTCTGCCATGTACCGGCCTCGCGGGGACACATGGAAAGCTGCGGCAGTCTTTCCAATGCAGCTCCAGCCTTGTCCGAGTTCTCCGGTCCTTCCCATAAGGCGCGGCATGTGTCCATGACCATGAAGACTGGTTTGTGCCGACCGCCGAGCCCCTTGTCAAGACACGCAGTCATGGGTTTAGAAGGATCACTTCTTGGCATCGCCCTTGGCATATCTATCAACGTACTGCTTTGCGTTTTTGTCATACTCGGCGCGGTTGTTCTTGTACTCCTCGGCGATGCGGGTCTCGAGCGGGTCGTCCGGGTTGGGCTCGATCAGCAGATGGCGGACGGCCTCGAGCACGCCCTTGATGCGGCTGGCGGGCTTCCAGTTCTCGGGCTTGAGGATGGACAGGCAGATGTTGCCCAGGGTGTCGTTGGTCACGTTGGGGTGGTACAGGCGGGTGGTGAAGTTGACGATGGGGGCCTTGAAGGGATAGTCCGGCGGCAGCACCATGGTGATGTGAAAGGTGCCGCCGGCGTAGACGGTGTCGGCCGGGCCCGCGAGCGTGATGTTCCACCGGTGCAGGTCCGACTCGTTGTACGTGATCTTCATGCCCTGCGGAGGGGCGGCCTCGCACTCGGCGAGCTCCTGGCGAGTCGTGAGTCAGCTCAGCTCGGCACAGACAGCATGACACGGCATGGCGCGGCGCGCATTGGTGCTCGGATGAAGGCAGGATGGATAGATAGTGTATATGGTAGGGGACGGTGGCCTACCTTTCCGATCCGCTTCGCCGCTGACATGCTGGATGCGTCTTCTCTTGTGCGTGTGCGTGTGTGTGCGTGTGCGTGCTGTCCTGGCGCTTCTGGGGCAGTCTTGGGCGGGGCGGGTGATCGAGTTGTGATGCTGGGTGAAGAGGCGAGGTCGTCGGCCCCTTAAGTACTTGGGGGACGGGGGATCAACAACGGAAATTCTTCCCGTACCGATGGCGTCTGCTTTGGTGTAGAATCTTCCACCCAACTGCCTTGGAAAATCAGAGAGGGGCGGACAGGCAGTTCTGTTCCCCCGTATCGTCGACAAAATAACTAAAGCGCGAGTGATGTCGACATGGGCAGTGTCTCACACTCCCACCCCCACCCGACGGCCACAGCGACAGCCTGGGAGCCTGGGAGCATGGGAGCCTGGGAGCATGGGAGCCTGGGAGCCTGGATGATGGCGGGGTAGGTACCTGAACGCCCACCTAAATTGGGTATCTAGTTAGCCACTCAGGGTACCTAGAAGTAGATTCTTGAGCAGGTGCCTCCCCAGTCACCTCCAGCTACCTAGGCACTTTCTAACTTAGTCCCCCCGAGGTTCCCCACGGAAGTGCCTGTTGCCTGACAACATTAACTACTACATACTTAAAGTAGGTTACTTGACCAAAGTTACAGGTGTTTTACCCCGCCATAAGCAATCACCACAACTCACTTGTACATGTGTTAGTTACATAATGTACTGTCTATACCGCAGGCACTGTTGAGAACTGATTATCGCTTTCATCTCTGTGCAAATACGTCTCAGAACTCGGAAGCATCGAAAGAAACATATGCGCACGGGTTCAGGTGCCATCGACTGCTTCTGCGACATGTAAGGTGGCATGGACCCTATAGCTCCAGATGTTTCCCTTGCCCCTCGCTCATACCGGGGAGTAGACCAACTTTGGGTGAGTTCGTCCAAATGCCCCGACGGACTCTACTCCCTATACACGCAGCATTCGAGTGTGTACATTGTTGTCAGTCAGGTATTCTAGGCGTTGATAGCGTGTTTCGTGTTGAGAGAATGAAGGCATCATCGCCGAAGTCGTGACGGGCCCACAACTACGCACTCTTTCCGGTGCTGTTCCCCGGGCCTCATGCCTTTTCCCTGCCCCTTTTTCCATATGCCATGATTTAATGTACACTTGGACAACTGCCTGGCCGTCACCCGTTCTACAGCATCTTCGTGCTCGGACAGGTCGTTCACGATTCACGACAAAAGCAGACACCTCAGTTTCATACTATTTTTGACCTGTTAGAACACCAATTTCTGTTAACTAGACTGCCCCACGCAGACTGACAAGAGTTTCTCAGCAGTTTGAGTACAACTCTATTATATATCTTATCTGAAGACCATTTCCGAAATAACGAGGCTTTCTTGAAGCACCACGCTGTTCTTGGGTCTCCAATGTTGCTTAATATGACGGGAATGCCCAGTCATTATTAGTCCTCCTAGACCAGAAGATATTTGGCTTACTATTGTGCGTAGCTTGGGATAGCAATATATATATATATATATATATATACTCTTTCGTAGTTGAATCCACCCGCGTCGGCGCTCTGCTGATTAACAATTTAATATCAAAGTCTCCTTGGCAATGGGCGGCTACTGCAGAGTGACCTGGTTGTCCAACAAAGGCTACCGGCGCTGTTGCGCTGCCCAAGGAGATCGCGGAGTACAGGGATTCATGCAGGCGTCAGATTGAGGAGCCATGTTGGAAGCAGAACTTTCACCCCTTCCTTCCCTCTCAGTCGCTCCACAATCAACAGATCACACCATACCCGCGTATGATGCCTGTTGATGTCCCTCCACCCATTGGCTGACCAAACTCTCGGGTCTAGACTTGCACCCTGGTGATAAGGACATGGCATGCGACAATCAATACCATTGGTTCTTTGCAGTCTATAGAACAGCAGATCTTGTCTCCGCTCCTTGACAATCCTACCGTGCCGAGATCTCCGCTACCATGGGGCCAGAGGAGGACAAACATCAGGGCGTGGGTTTGTCTTTGGTATTACAAGAAGGCAAACCCATAGCCCAATACTCAAAATCAACTTTCGCCGTTACACCATTCTAGCTCGTCAACTCAATACGTTCAAAACCCAGCTATACAAGAGCTTGCACTTATTCTTAGAGCATAATGTCTCCATCGGCAACCGCGGATACAACGTCAACCACTGAGAACGTGGAAGCGAACATCTTCACCCCTTCAGAAAAAGCTGTTGGTTCACTCGGCAGCACTGAGCAGAGGGGAGAGCAACAGCTTGGAATCAATCATAGACAGCCCCTCAAGCCCAGCGGTGCACTCGACCATTTCGAGAGTTTTGATGTCACCCCTGTCATTGGACGCGAATTCGTTAATGTTGACGTGGCAGAATGGCTTCGTGCGCCAAACTCGGATGAGCTCATCCGTGAACTCGCGATTACAAGTATGTCCTCTTTCACAACTAGGTGCTGCTACGTCGGATGAATCTAACCTCTAACCTAACCCTTCAGTCTCCCGAAGGGGTGTCGTCTTCTTTCGCAAACAGGATAACATCACCAATGACCTCCAGAAAGAGCTCGTTCAACGTCTGGGACAGCTGACTGGCAAGCCTGAGAGTTCAGGTCTTCATATCCACCCTGCGTTCAACCCTGGCCAAGAACACGGCGGGAGCGACAACGAGATCAGTGTTATCTCGTCTGAACAGGCAAAGAAGATGTACTCCAAGGCCCTCCAGAAATCACAAAGCCAGCGAATGCAGTGGCACTCTGACATAACATTTGAACCAGTCCCTAGTGACTACACACTTCTTCGTTTGACCCAGCTTCCAAAGTTTGGAGGAGGTACGTTGCACTGGCTGTGACCCTGCCGCCACCTCTGAGCTGATATGAGGATACTAGATACCTTGTGGGCCTCAGGATACGAAGTCTATGAAAGAATCTCGAAGCCTCTACGCGAGTTCCTAGAAACTCTCACAGCCTATTATGCGCAGCCGGCTTTTGGTGAGGCTGCCACCAAAAACAACTTCACCATATACCCTGGTCCAAGAGGGTCGCCCCTGAATGTCGGGGATACCCTGGAGGCCAACCACCCGGTGGTCCGTACGAATCCGATAACGGGCTGGAAGAGTGTCTTTGCCGTCGGTATCCACGCGCAGAAAATTAATGGGTTAAGCGAGGAAGAGTCCCGCCATTTCCTTCAGTGGTTCGTGCAATTAATTGTTGAGAATCACGACCTCCAAGTGCGAAATCGATGGCAGAATGTGAACGACTTAGCCATCTGGGATAACAGGAGTGTCTACCACGCGGCAACTCCTGACTATATTGGAGAAGGTCTAGGCGAGAGAACGGGATCAAGAGCTGTCAGTATTGGGGAGCAACCTTACTTTGACCCGGCGAGTGTCAGCCGGCGAGAAGGTCTGTCGCAGGAGCAGGTATAGACTGAAAATTGGTTGCACCAGTTGGACTGAAGTCAAATGAAATGGTTCCATAGACGGTGAGAACCTGGACGACTGAGCAATGCAAATGGGACATCTGTAACAGGAAGGGAATTCAAATAAACTCTTCTTTATTAATACTACTTGGCATTTGTTCGTAACGCCATCTGGGGTATTGCCTCAAAACCACCTATTCTCATCTTATTTGGATTATCCGAACAATTGGGTTGTTGCCCTCTTAGATGTCCCGAGAGATCAAATCGGTGTACAACATGCCAGCAACCGAGGCAGACGACAAAGTGGAGATGATACCAGCGATGAGGGCGCTGACTGCGACCTTGGATACATCACCAGATCTGCCAGGCGCAATTTGAGACAGGACACCAATTTGGTTTCCGAGAGAGCCAATATTTCCGAAACCCTGGGAAGACTTAGTTAGCAAGAGACTTGACAAAAGTGCTTGTGGTCATGGTTCTACTTACGCAGCAGGCATAGGTGGCAATGATACGTCCACGAGTGGTCAGGTCCTTGTCGGCCGACAGAGACGCGAAGGCAACGAACTCGTTGGTGATAATCTTGATACCAATGAGTTCTCCAACCTTTCGGAGATCCTGCTTGGGAACTCCGAGCAACCAGGCGACGGGGTACAACACGTAGCCGAGGATCATCTGGAGCGTCAACGGGTTGGGGTCGTTGATGTTGAAGTACTTGCCCCACCAACCCAGGAAGCCGTTGATAAGACCAACGAAGGCGATGATACAGAGCAGTGTACAGGTGATCATGCCCGCAATCTTGAGACCAAGCCAAGCGCCATTAGTGAAAGCATGCAGAGCGTTGGCGGCCTTGTGTTCGTCATCGTCGGGGACTACCACGCGGCCAGAGGTCAAGGTCTCCTCCTCCTCGGGGAATCTCATCTTGGAAATGGCAAGCGAAGCCGGGATGGACATGATACAGGACGAGACCAGGACTTGAGCATTCAGTCCCATGTTGATATAGGAGATCAGCACGGATCCAGCAATGGTTGCAAAACCACAAGTCATGACCTGATGGATCTCGGCAAGGGTAAGGTGAGGAACGAACGGTCGTACCAGCATGGCCGATTCACCCTGGCCAATGAAGGGGGTGGCGGCAGCAACGACAGCCTCGGCACCAGAGACACGCAGGGTCCAGTAGAAGAAGTGGGCAAAACGCTCGACGAACCACTGAAGAATACCAGAGTGATAGAGGAGCGAGACCAGGGACACGAAGAAGATGATGGGTGGAATGACACCCGTGAAGAACCAGGGGAGCTTTGGCACAGTGTCGTCGGTCAAGAAGACCACACCCTCATTTGCGAAACTGAGCAGAGTCCTGGCCAGGAATGAGATGAAGGCGAAAATATCGTAACCGGCCTGCGTTCGCAGAACGAAGATGGCAATGATGAACTGCGTGAGCATGCCACCAATGACTGTGTGCCACGGGATAGCGGACCGGTTGCGGGAAGTTGCCCAGAGACCAAACAGCATCACAAGCAGACCGAAGATCGAGACGGCACGGTTAGCACGCGTGTTCTCTCCGCTCTCTTCTGGCACGAAACTTCCAATCAGGTAGACCGCAACGGTAATTGCAGCAGCGAGGGGCCGGTGAAGCTTCTTAGGGGTCGCCTCGTAAGCCTTGAAGACTGTACGGTCCCAGAGCCAGCGGACGGGCCTCCAGAGGGATGCCATCGGAACCCACAAAGTGATCACACGGATGGTAATAGCCAGGTATAAGAGGAATGGAATGAGCCAGCTAAGCCCATCGGGCCGAGGGCCCCAAACAACAACGGTGCACAGTCCATGAATCCACCAGCTGCGAGCAAAGTGTTAGATAGGCTCTTCTAGGAATGGAAAACGGCAAATGACATACGCAGTAAATACCATCCATACGAGAATGGGGATGAACGGCCGGGCCTTGCGATACCAGCGCGACGCTAGGCGCGTATGGGTAATCTCGTTTTCGCTGTGGCCAATATGACCGCTTTCTTCATCGACAGACTTCTCAGCCACGGGCGTGTCGTTCAGCTTGTGCTTGGTGTAATCCTGGGGAGGAGTATCCAGCAGGTCGCGGCCCTTCTCGGTCGTGCCCGTGCTATACATGACATCGTCGTTCTTTTCCTTCTCGTGTGCGGCCGCTCCGTGGTGGTGAGCGTGCTCGTGGCGGTGCTCGTTCACGTAGTCGAGAGCGGGATCGGGATTGCTGGCAACGCCCACCTGTGGTGAGGCATTGTGGCCTTCGAAGCCGAGGTTTTCCTTGCTGGAACCCATTGCGTCTGCGGCAGATCTGCTTCTTCGGTCCGTGGACCAGAAAAAGTGACAGAGAAAAAAATTACTAAAAGTTTCCTTCTCGTGAAGCAGAGACGTGCCCTCCAATTAGCAGCCGCTGGTATTAGAGCTGACTTTAGAGCCAAAATGCAAGGCCAAAAAGCTGGCCCGAAATTCTGGATGCGCATTGGGGACGGACAGCGCGCATTTAATAACGTTTTTTTGCCCCAATTGCTCTCCCCAACCTGCGCGTTAGAGTGCCCAAGGGACGTAGACCGGCGATGATCGCGCGGTCTAGACGAACCCCGAGGGTCTTACTGCGTGGAGTATTCCCTTTTCCGGCAGGACGTCCTATCTCTCAGGCCTTGGCTAGCCGAAGCGGTGTGTAGCTCCGATGTTAGCAGGGATTGCTCAATTGGGATTCGGTAGAGGTCCAGCATAAGAATCCTGTAAGCGACACAACCAGATCGGAAATGAGATGTCATTGGGCCCCTAACTGGCCGCTAGCATCCCCTACCCAGCAAGTATAGCAGGGCTCGGCTCTCCCCCGGCCGTGCATCCTGCATCTGCCCCATAGTGGCCAGAGTGCATGATAAGGGTGGACGTGGAGCAGAGCTAGGGGGGCGCCCAAACAATGGGCTAGGAGGCTCTGGCCCTGTAGTAGCCCCGGCGCACGTGAAGAAGAGTCCGCGATGGGTACGGGGTGCATGGTAGGGTTCAGGTGTCAAAAACGCTTCCAGAGCCGGCGTCGTTAGAACGTAAGGCCCTTATTCATGATCGCGGCCCCGTATGGAATAGCGGCGTGTACGTCTCCAGGTAGTCATTAGCAGCCCCTCCATGCTTGCCGATCTGACGGGCCACACTTTGCGCACCGTAGACTCGAGTTATCGGTCATCCACAAGCTCACAAATACTGTTGCACGCACCAACATTGAATCATTGCGTGAAACACTTTCGATGCTTTTCAGCTTGTAAACGCCCTAGCCCCATCCCACCCAGAGTGTTGGTACCAGCTGATGACCGAGAGAGTCAAACCGCCGGTCTCCGCCGGTAGGATGGCAGGTCAAGTATCATGGTGGGTTCGTCGGATCTTCTTATCTCAACTCTAAAATCGACGGTGTCCGCAAGGCTGCGACGTATGGAAGGCAATTAGAGCACCTGCCTGGGCCCGGCACTATTTACAAGCCTACACTACTAATTAACCAGGGCCTTCAAGATACTACTTTAACAAAGACGAGGGAAACACTCATCAGTCTTCCGTCTATCAAAAGCTTCATGCAAGGGCCTCTGGACCAAGGGTCAGGTCGTAACACTAATGCTGCTCTGTGAGTGCAGCACTCTAGCTAGTGCTCGCGTGGTCGCACGCTCCCGTCGCACTAGAAGACATCTAGATTTCAGTGCTCAGAGCGATATGATTGGATGGAGTTGGCCAACTTCCAATCCATGCAAGCAAGCTGCGGCCGGGGCAGGGGATCAGGTGCTCCGCACAGAAACTACTACCAAATACCCTTCCCCAGACCTCCCGGACCTCCCAGACCTCCCAGACCTCTGGGTCCCTAAGGCCTACTCTGCTTGGCGTTGTGTGCGTACAAGAGGATTACTGACGCGGCGTTTCTTGCAAATGAATCGTGATTAGCAGAGAAGCATGACACGAAAATCTTAGGCCCGGCGGCGTCCCCGAGTTGCTGCTAGCGTCTCCCAAGTTCTTACCAATGAAGATTATTCACTATACCTCCAAGCAGGTCATGCTGACTGCATACCTTGTGCCGTAGCACGTAAAGGATGCGCTGGTAAGCAACGGGAAGAACCTTCGCCCATCATCTTGGCCTTGGGGGAGACGACTTCGATGATAATTTCAATTGCCTATCGGGCGGCTATACATGATAGAGCTTGCACGGCCGTCAGCCCTACTTTGTCTTCTGAAGTTGCATGGAATCGCCATTTCCAAGTCAAATATCGCTACCACAAGGACGTCCAGGGAGGTGCCCTGTCAAGTAAGTCCCTGTGAATATGTATGCATCGATGTTACACTGCGTCCGCAAGAAACCCCATTAATTGCGGTTGCGCCGATAGCCAAGATATGGCCTGCTTGCAAGCCGACACTGTCCCATAGACTCGGGTCTCTTGGCCGTCTTGAGCATGCATGTCACTTGGGAGGCCCTGCGCAGGCAGGCAGTTGGATCTAAGGGGCACATCATCTATCAGTAGGAGCTGGGAGAGACCGGATGCGAGCCACGGGCGGTCCGGTGTAGTTTTCACCTTCCAAATCAGGCGAATAGGCACATGACTGTGGCGTCGAGCAGCTAGTGCTGGACTCCCCATAACACCAGACCATTTCAGTCAACCAGGTTCAAATGATCCCTCTACCTTTGAACAAGGGTTGAATAACAGACATGCCACATACGTGATTTGCCAATGATAACACTGGTCGTATCATATCTGGGGAGCTTAGAGTATCTTAGAAATGCGCCACGAGAGCCAGTGTCTAATCTGTCAGCTTGACTAGTCGTGAGACTCGCGGACTTCCGCGACGAAGGACATTATCAGCCGGTGTCGGATGCTCCCCATTATAATGCCTGAGATCCATGGCTAGGACTCGTAGAAACTACTTGTACATAAGCCGTCCTGTGTGTAGTAGAGGACTTGGAAAGCCGCCTGCGAGACTTGTCACACTCTTAGAATCTCATTCTGTGAAGAGTATCTAGTCGATTGGTCTGAGAACTCCTGGGTTCAATATATGTCTTTATGAATGCCATCCCCTACAATCGAGCCCATCAAACCCAACCCGGGGAAGATTGGCGCGCAAGAGTGTTTATGTGTGGCAATGTTTATTCAAATGACGGGGATATACCATTAAAAGTTATTTGTCTGCTGCTGTATTGTGGGTATTTAGGCCAACTGGTACAGCAACCAACGCGGTATTACCTGTTATGAATGTCGGGCCTTTCACCACTATCACTCCGACAACTGATAAATCACAGTCTTATGGCTTTCCACCTTGGGCCGCTGACAAATTTGAAAGTGAATGGCTTACCGATCGCTCGTGAGGAGGTAGGACAATCGTAGGGTTGAAACAAGAACTGGTCATGATCTACAGCCTATACGCGACAAGGACACACTGCCGTACATTAGTCTACCGTTTCGGGCATTCTTATGAAGTACGTTGTTAAATTATATATTACTGATGAAGCACTGAAGACAAGACTACTCAAACAAAACGACGTTGGGTTTGAGTCGCAAAATGGACAATCAAACATAGATTGAACTACTACGAGACTACATACTTCGGCCCTGGCTTGCCACGACTCTTGACGTGGCCTCGGAGTTGGCTATCATGAGTTCTGGGTCCAGCACTGCGCCGTGGGATCGTGTGCGCAGAAATCATCCTATGACCGTCTGCCCTTTCTGATTGAACAACGGCAGGACCATAGTTTTGAGGACGCATCAAGAGTAATAGAAAAACATTCCGTTCTGTCATGCTTGCTGCACATAATAGTTCTGAAGCAGGTGTTGGGTCGTCCAAGATCGCAGGACACACGAAGCACAGTCCATGAGCAAAATGTCGCATGAGATTTGCGACATGGGAGGAAAAGAGACTTCAATGATTTAGAGCACACGTCTAAACGGTTCAAATTCAGCTGTTACTCCTATTATGAACCGTCTCCACGATCCGAAAGGAGCACCTAGACGCTTTACCGGCCGGCTCGGAATCGGCCAGGTTCGGCACGGGCTACGGGCTAAAAGCTGCCGATAGAAGCCGAAGTTTGGGGAAAATATGGGGTGCAAAGCCGCTAGTTCCAGGTTTTCTGAGCCGGCTTGGATAATTTACTATTTTACTATTGTACCACATCCTGTTATATCCAACATTGGCATCAGACTTAAGTTAGGTGTGATCGCATATGATTCCTCTGTAGTGCTCTGAGGAATATCCGGAAGGGCCATCAGCAGCGCAGTCAGCTATTCACTTTGTGCTGTCTCGCGCGAACTTTGATCCCATTTTCTGAAGTAGCACGTTTCCTTCGCGAAACAATGACCCGAGGCATCTAGATGCTCAACGCTGGCATCTCCAAGTAAGGCGCTAGAGGGGTAAATCATTTCTGGGCGCAAGAACAGACTGCGAAAGACCACTACTGGGCGTATCATCAACATGCCTGCAATAGTACACGCAGTGGATTCACCGGGGGCCCAATCCCCACTACCGTGGATACAGTGACACTGCCTGCAGTTAAAGGCGGCCTGATGACACTGTACATGCTTGAAATGTCATCTAGAAATGCGGGGAATATGGGGAAGTTCATGTCCCAACCCAGCTACCCCACAGACTCATCATACTATCCAACCATCTGGGGCTCCGAATGCAAGCAAGAGTTATTGTTCGTCTACTTGAGTAGTGTGCAGAACCATGACGCCCTTTGGTGGTCCCCCGGTAAATGACTTGAGATAGTCATGACTACCGTCATCCACTTTCCGTCTTTACCCCTGGTCTATATAGAAACTGTTTCTGGAGCGACATCAGGATAAACTGAAATAAACAGACCTGACCACCTTCTTTCGAGAGGAATCTCGAGGTTGAAACGTCTGCCGCCTCTACCCTGTCACGTTGTAAAGAGACAAGATGTTGTCACTGCTCAAGGCAGCGTGGATCATTCCGTTCTGTTTCTCGTCCCTTCCAACAGCTCTATGCGTGCCGTTCAATTCGAAAGCTCGGTGAGTTGTGTTTCACCAGTCACTCAGCATAGCTGTATCAATGCGCCTAACTCAAATGACTTAGCTCACCCCCGGCCCGGGACTTCTTCCCCAGGGGTTTGCGCGTAGGTACTGAGCTTGACACGGAAACAGGCGATTTTGCCAGTTTTACTCTTGATGACACCTCTCTCATTGCTACATTGGACTATGGGACTGAAAGAGGGGGCTACCCTTTCTTTCTTGTTGCGGACGTGAGCCAGCCAGTGCAGATCGAAGTCAAATACAGCGAGTCGTTCGTTGGCCTTGCTCAGCCATGGGCGGATGGTCCCTATCCATTCTCTACCGGCTTAGCCAACTCGTACCGAGTCGAGACGTTTAACGTCACATCACCAGGACGTATTACTGCTCCTCTTATTCAGGGTGGTCAACGATGGGAGTCTATACGATTGGTGACCTCGGGCAGCATCACCTTCGAGACGATTGGGCTCGAGGCGACCGTCGACACCACCGAGATCGAAGACTTTCCTGGACAGTTCAGCAGCAATGACGAGCAGCTCAACTCGATATGGAAATTGGGAGCTGTTGCAGCGTCCACCGCCTGTGTCGAGGAAGGCACTCAGCTTGCCACGTGGGAGATTGATCCTGTCACCGGTGCTTTCATCCGATCGCAAAGAGCTTCTCAGACGCTAGCTGGGCCACTATACTCGGATTACACGCTGAGCTTTGACACAATGATTGATAGAGGAGGTGTGTGGTGGGCAATGGTATGGTTCACCCGATGACAAGTGGAAACTTTCTCTGCAGCGCGTCAACTAACCTTATCAAAGGCATTTCCGTTGGCCCGAGGCGAGGGTCTTCAGCTGCAGCTCATCAGCGATCTACCTGAAGGTTCGACATTTGCAAATGTCAACAAAACCCAGACGCCCGCCAACTCGGTCTTGCTCTCCTACGGGTACGATTTCGTAAACCAGACGACCCTAACGTCTTACTACCTGGACACCTTTGCAGTCCCATTCGCCGTTGCCGAGAAGACTTGGCATCATGTCACAACAGCTCTCTCGCCGGGTGGACGACTCTCCGTATCCATCAATGGCCAGGTCGTGGTGGACATCTCCATTACGGACTACTGGACTCCTGCACCTGTTTCGTTCACGGGGAGTTTTGGGTTTGGTGCATGGCAAGACCAGGCCGCGTACGTCAGGAACGTATCTGTGTCCGACACAATTAACGGGACCGTCATCTATACAAACCCAATGACATCTGTAGATGTCTTGGCGGAGTATGGAACGCAGACGAATCTGGGATCCGTGTGCCTGGATGGACCCAAGAGAGACCGACTTGTATGGCTAGGTGACTTCTACCACACCGCCCGCATTATTGGCTCCAGTACATCCCGGTTCGACCTTACAAAGGGCACATTAGAGTTTTTCCTTAGGACTCAGATTGCAAACGGAGAGATGAACATTGCGCCCCCGATGGGCTACGATCCCTCGATCACCGCCCCTTTCACGCCCTTTGGCTCCTATGGGCTCTCCGACTACCAGCTACTTGGCCTCGACGGTGTCCACAGCTATATTCGCCAAACAAACGATCTAGGCTTTCTGCGGGAGACTTGGCCGCAATGGAAGCTACTCGTGGACTGGACTATCGGTAAAGTAAATAGCACCGATGGTTTGATCTATGTACCAAGTGCATTTCTCGGGCCGTCCCAGGCTGGTTCGGCGGTCTCGTGCTTGGCGGTACAGGCGCTGCAACAACTATCTGAACTAGCTCAGGCAGTTGGGGATGACACATCCAAATCTCGGTGCGACGCTGCAGCCCAGGCCCTCTCGGACGCTGTTAACAGGCAACTATGGAACGAAGATCTGGGCGTATATTCTCTAAGCACTAGCGACAAAGGCAACTTCTCCGTCGCTGGTATCGCATTTTGCCTCGCATCCGGAGTGTCAACGCAGCATCAGACCGCGCGTGCTCTCGCGGCTCTTGATGGACTTTCTCTCTCACCCGGTTACAAGGACTCGACAGCGGCGAGCTCGACAGACCCGACAGTGGTAATATCCCCGAACACGAATGGTTTCCTGCTGGATGCGCTATTCAAGTCGGGGGCTTATACTACCGGACATCAGCTAATCAAGTCATTGTGGGGCACGATGGTCAACAATAAACAGACGTCTTCCGGGGCAAGTTGGGAGTACGTAGATCAGAGTGGCAACCCGGGACTTAGCTACTTTACAAGCCTTGCTCATCCATGGGGCGGCGCCGCGACTTACGTACTTACTGAATGGGCTGCTGGGATTAGGCTAGGGCCAGGCCCGGAAGGCTTCGGATACAAGCACTGGATTATAGCGCCAGAAGCAGGACTCGCAATGGGTCTGCAGACGGCATCAGCTCGTGTCAAGACGCCGGCTGGCTTCTTGGCTGTAGAGTGGACCAAGTCATCCAAAGACGAGGTGACAGTGAGGATCGATGCGCCACCAGCAACTTATGGAACATTCAAGTTTGGCAATGAGACGAAGTCGCTTTGTGGGCAGATACAGTACACACTTGTACGCAAGATCAGTAGCTAGGGTTGGCAGTCGAGCCTGTTCAGGAATAATCAATAGCCAATATAACAGCTCTACGTGTTATTAAGCAGGCCAGAGGAGAAACGAAAGCAAGGTATGTGATAAAAGTCTATAGCGTTCCATTATGCTACTATGCTCTACCTATATCCGTAGTGCTGTGAGGAACGCCATGGGGGTATCTGAAAACCTCAAGCCGAAACGCCAATCCAGGGTGCCCTTCTAGTACCATTCTTCATCGTCACCCTCGTCGTACTCGTCGTAGGCGTTGTCGTCATCGTAGATATCGTGTTCCTCGGGCTCTTCCTCTTCCTCCTCGGCCTCGCCAGCCTGCTGTTCAGGGTCCTTCGACTTGGGGGCAGAAGGCGCCTGCTTCGGCTTGGGATGATCACCGGCTATGCTTTCGGCATACTCGCTGTCCGCATAGCTGCTTTGGGCGACACTGCCCGGTCCCGCTGGTCCGTCCTCTCCAAAGAGGTTCTTGATGGCGTCGAGATTGATCCGTGAACTCATAGTAAACTTCTTCATAGTCGCGACGGCGGCCTCGCCAGGGGTACTTGCAGGTGTGAGCTGGCCTTCTCCGATACGGGGTTTCTTGAGGCGGTTGCGCCGCTTCTTCTTAGGCCCCAGCTGTTCCATCTCCTTTTCGAAGAGCTTGTTTTGTTGCTTTCGCAACCAGTCCTTGTTCGCATTGAGCCAGATTAGCTCCTTGATCTCAATCTCCTCGCGACTAAGCAGGCAGTTCTCAACCTCGGGATCGTCGGCGAACTCTGATGGGTCGATGACCTCGTCCATTTTAAGTTCTTGGGCTGGCAGCTGGGAGCGAGCCCAAGCGGCCTTGACACGAGCGTGGTATGCAGCCGTGGCTAGAGCTTTCCGATGCTCATCGCTGCTGGGGTCACTGATGACTTCGTCAATCTGCTTCTCCAATACGGCCTCTTCCTCTTCCCACTCTTCATTAAAGGTGAGTAGTGGCTCTTGCTGGGCACGTTTGCCACGTCGACGTCTGCCATTGGATGTTGCTGCCTCTTCCTCGGCTGCCACGGCCTCAGCCTCAACCGCAGCCTCAGCCTCGGCATACGTCTCTGCAAGGTGATCGATGGCCTCCTCACCGGTAGGGTCATCCGCATCAACGCCCTCTTCGACGTCCTTGCCATTGGTGATGCGCGGAGCAGGGGCAGGAATGTTATCAGGATCAAATGCTTCGATGATTGTCTCTCGGGAGACAGGATCGAACGACTTCTTCAGAAACTCGGACACCTGAGGCCGCTTAGACATGTCGGGCAGTGGCAGGGGGGGTGGCGGCATCGCCTGGCTTGCCGCACGGCTGGACGAGGGGGTTGTGCGCGGGCTGCTGTTTGTCGCGCTGGCTGCATCCTCGTCGCCATCGATATCCTGGATCACCCGCTTCCGCTTGTGTCCGCCCTCCTCTCTGCGCTTCTCCATCTTCTCGAGATACTCGGCCTGCTTTCGGTAGAATGAAGGGGGGTCGTGGCGTGATTCGAGCAATTCTTGCTTGAGGAAATCCTCAATCGTCAGCTCGCTGCTCTCCACGACCTTGAACTCGTCCAAGCGTTGCTCGATGGTATGCATCGTAACCTTGACGACGTAGACAATCTCTCTCACGGTGCGCCGGAAACCCCAAACCTGAGCTGCCAAGAAGATGCAGGCACCACAGATGCCTGACGGACGACGGCCCATGACCATCCAATCAAGGCCCATACGCTGACAGAACCGAGCGGCAAGCTCGGCAACATCCTTGGTCATGTCGCCGAAGTCCAGACGGTCGCAGAAACGGTACATGAGATCCTCGGGGATGATGGATTTGATCTTGTTGTGGCTGAAGTCGTAAATGTCGTTAAGGGCCTTGAAGACGTGGCCGAGCTCGTAGACGTTTACCTTGACCAAGTCGGCAAAGTCGATGAGCATGACACGGCAGGTGTCCTGACGACGACAGGCGGCGTACAGGCAGACGGGGACGACCTTGATCATGCCACGGCCCTGGATCCAATTCTGGCTGAGAGCGAGCTTGAAGATCTGAACGCCCTCATTGACGACGGTGTCGGAGAGCTTCAGCTGCTGGGCATATTGCTGCATCATCGTCTTGGCCTCGCGCACGACGCGGTCCCGAGAGTCGCCGATGACACCTCCCATGCGTCGCATGCCAGGACCCATGGGACGGACGGTAGTCTGGTCTGCGCCCATGTAGCTCCCCTGAACAACGGCAGCGCCAGCTGCGTTCTCCCCGAACGAGACCTCATTCACGATGTTATCGCGCTCGACCTCACGTCCACAGCTGGTACAGAAGCCGTCCTCAATGCGGGCCGAGGGGTTGGAACACTGAGGATTGGGGCAGCTTTTGCGCGAGGGGGCAACCACGCCCGAGGCGGAGGCAGAAGCAGCAGCTTCCGGAGCGGGAGAGCCAGCAAGGCCGGACTGGCTGTCCACGAGCTGCAGGGCATCGCGAAGGCGGTTGTTGGTGGCACCCTTGGGCTTGATGGAAAAGCCACCCTTGCGATGCTTGTTGGGCTTGAAGAAGGACGACATTGGTGAATGCCCGAACGCCTGAGTGCTGGAATACCCGGCTGTCTGGTCTGCTTGGGGGCCGTCCCGAAAGCCTGACTGTATCAACAAACCGAACCAACGGACAAAATAAATGGCTATATGTCTGTATGAGTGACTGAACGGCAGGTGGGCGGCTCCGTGAGGCTGCGGTGAGTCAGCTCGCGCAGGGCGACCGCAGCCCGCGAACGGTCGAGTCTGGCGGTGCAAGGCGGTTTCGTTCCGGCTGTTTGCAGGCCGGGCAGGACCTCGCGAGTCGCGATGCGTGTAAGTGATGTGATGTATGTGATGGTGTGAGTGGTACCGTCGGCCGCGGAGCCGACTGCAGAAGGCTTGATTTGGGGTGGGTGGTGAGGCCAAAGTGAAGGGAAATCCGGAGGTGGGGGGACGCTGCTGGCGTTTTTCGCGGGCTTGTGGGTTTTGCTGGCGCGCTTGGTGCAGTGGGGGGAGGAGGTCGAGCAAACAGAGTTTCGCGACCAGGTGAACAGAGAGAGGCAGGCAGGCTGGCAGGTTCGAGTACCTGGGAGGGCGACGATCAAAACTGTTTTTTCCAGCCACCACCGTCGAGGTAGAGAGCAAATTTGACGGCGGACGGGCTTCTGATCACCGGAAGAATATTTCTAAGAGATTGTTTCGGTTGAGAGAGGCGCAATCAATGTGGTGTCGTTCAAGGAGCTGATGCTGCACAGGTCCACGGGCGTCGCCTCGAGGCCGTCGGGCACCGCTGTACTGTAAGCTAGCAGCACAGGGCACTTTAGGGGCTCTCCAGCGCCTGCCCGCTATCTTGCGCTGCCCCCTGGGGCCCGGGCTGCTGCTAGGGGCATACTGTGGCTTGAGGCGCCTGAAGGTACGCCAAGTACGTAGGTAGAGCAGGTGTAATTGATGTGCATCGTTCTCAATTGGGAATTTCGTCATTGGGATCCAGGTAGCTGCATGTGCCTACTACAGATTGCACAATTATAGACAGGCCATTGTCCACGGGTATCCCTCAAGCTCTCAACGTTCGCAAACCAGGCTCACCCAGCCTGGTGTTCCGCAAACCTGTCTCGAGCAACCCGTCACACCCACACACCGGCACATGATGGATGGTCTCGACGAGTTCGAGAAGGAGCTGGCTGCCGAGAAGGCAGAACGCGACCGCGCCGAGGAACGCAGAAGTCGCAAGCACCGCCACCACCACCACCACCACAGAGACACGCATCCAGACCAGCTGGCCGAGCGCCACGGCCACCGGCATCGTCATCACAGATCCCGCGACGGCGACGACGGCGAACACCGCGATGAGCACCGCCACAAGCGCTCGCGCCACGCAAGAGGAGACGACGACGACCACGGTGTTGATGAAGATGGGGAGCGCCGCCGGCATCGCCATCATCGCCGGGACATCGACCGTGGTTCGAGCAAGCACAGCCATGGCTACGCCAAGGTCTCGGATCCGAAGAGCGACCTCCCGCTACCAGACGAGGAGACTGCTGCTGCAGATTCCCACCCCAAGAGCTTGACGAGAGACGGCTGGATGACGGATCCGGCGGCACTGGGAATCGACTATACCCAGAGGGGCGCCAAGCGTGAGAAGACCCCCCCGCCGAAGACAGAGCCGACTCGGGCCATTCATTCGCGAGAGATCAACGCCGCGGAACTGCAGCATCTCAACGAGGGCAAGTCGCTGGATGACCTGCAAGTGCCCGCCCAGCATGACGTGGAATACACCTTTGGAGACGACGGTAGCCAGTGGAGGATGACGAAGCTAAGGGGTGTGTATGCCGCTGCCGAGCAGACCGGGCGCCCCGTAGATGACGTGGCGGTCGAGAGGTATGGTAGCTTGCGGGGATTTGACGACGCTCGGGAAGAGAAGATAGAGCTGGATCGACGCCAGACTTACGGCGAGGGATATGTTGGGAACATGAAGCCAAGCGGGGAGCTATTCCAGGAGCGGAAACTCAAGATGGGTGTCCGCGAGGGCCGGGAACCGTCACCGGAACATGGAGAACTTGGTCAAGACACCGTACTTCCAGATATGCCGGCGGCCCAACCTGTGGCCAGAATGGACCAGACGGAGCTTAACAAGATGCGCGCCCAGCTGATGAAGGCCAAGCTGAGAAAGGCGCCAGATTCGGCAAAGCTGGAAGCCGAGTACAATGAGGCGGCTGCCGCCTTCGCCGCACAGGACTCTGACCAGGTTGTCCTCGGCGTCATGGAGAACAGGTTGTTGGCTGGCACCCGGGGTGAGGCCAAGGCCGTTGAAACCAAGCGGGGGAGGGAGCGCGGCCTCGTGGAGCAGAACGATGAAATGACCATCGAGGACATGGTGCGAGAAGAGCGCCGTACTCGGGGCCAGAGAGGAGGAGAGGGTCTTCGACTGGCAGAGCGGATTGCCAAGGACGGCAAGTTCGACAACGATCTTGATTACATGGACGAGAACGCGGAAAAACTGGCAAAGCGCATTCAGAAGTCCGAGATCAACCTCCGGAACACGGCCGTCAGCGAGTTCCAGAAGATCAACAGCATCCTGGACAAGTGCCAGCTCTGCCACCACGAAGACCGGAACCAGGCACCCATCGCGCCCATGCTATCGTTGGCTACGCGCGTCTACCTCACGCTGCCTACCGAACCCGAGCTTGCTGAAGGCGGAGCCGTCATTGTGCCCGTCCAGCACCGCACAAACCTCCTCGAATGCGACGACGATGAGTGGGAGGAGATACGGAACTTTATGAAGTGCCTGACGCGCATGTATCACGACCAGGGCCGCGAAGTCATATTCTACGAGAACGCTGCTGCGCCCCATCGCCATATGCATGCTGCCATGCAAGCCGTACCTATCCCATACGAGCTCGGCGACACAGCTCCGGCATTTTTCAAGGAGGCCATGCTCTCGGCCGACGATGAGTGGTCGCAGCACAAGAAGATTATCGACACGGGGGCCAAGGCGAGGGGCGGCATCGGCAAACTCGCCTTTCGCAGGTCCATCGCCAAGGAGATGCCCTACTTCCATGCATGGTTTACACTTGACGGCGGCCTCGGGCACGTGGTGGAGAACTCGGACCGGTGGCCTCGGGGGGATCTCTTTGCTAGGGAAATCATTGGCGGAATGTTGGACGTCGGGCCCGACGTCATAAAAAAGCAGGGTCGCTGGCACAAGGGCGACACCAGGGCCGATAGATTCAAGAAGCGCTGGAGGAAGTTTGACTGGACCCGAGTGCTAGCAGATGGTTAGATTGTCAAAAAGCGAGGTATGGAAATACGACCATCGTCTGGGGTTCATCTCAAGCAAGAATCTCGTTTGCGATTTGTGACAAGCGTTGACAGACCGTAGCCGTGTAAATTTCACTGGGTATCTTTTTGCTCAATGCTCTTAATTAAACCTGGGTGCGCGCGCCATGAAGACCACAAATGTGCCCGACTATTCTCTTTGCAACACCACAAGCAGGCCCATGATGCCCAGCATTACCGTCTTCAGCCACGGATGCTCGCTCAGCATGATGGTGACGTAGCCGACAAATGGAATATAGCCCACGACGCTGCCAATGATGTCTTGCCGCTCGAGATAGTCCTGTCCCTGTGCGTAGAGCTCCGTGTCGTCGGCAGCGTTGTTGTCGCCCTTGGTCAGCAGCTTCGCGTGCTCGCCCGTGCCAAACTTGCGCACCACCCGATGGACGATGGGGATGTCCTTGTCCTTGACGTTGTATACCACAACCTCGCCCACGTCGGTCTCGGCCATAAGGTTGCGATTCCAGAGGAGGAGCAGGTCGCCTCGCTGGAAGGCCGGCTCCATGGACCCCGATAGGACGACGACAATCGGGGACGGCGAGTCCGAGACGATGGACAGGCCTTTCCACATCTACAAGGCGCAGACAACGTGTCAGCGCATGGCGCATAGCGACCCCATCTCCCGCGCGGGGGAGCTGGGGATGCAGCAGACGAGATAGGTACATACCATGAATGCGGTGGAGAGGATCAGTGCGAAGTTGAGCAGCTGCGCAGCCGCCTGCCGCGGGTTCTGGAGGCTGGAGAGCATGATGTGGTCGGCTTATGGTACACAAGAACGAGTCGCCGTCGGCTGCTTCGCACGAGAGAGCGGTTTGCGTAGGAATTGGCTTGGGCGATATGGTCTACATATATGCCCGGTGAACACTACGCCTTCGGGGATGAGGTGTCCTCAAAGCTTCAGGCCACGGAGCTTGCGCCGTCAGCTGGGGCGGCTGCCGGAACCGGGGCCTAGCGGGCTGGTGTCGGCTGGCACTCAACTGCGGGCGCGTGCGGCTTACACACAAAGACCCGGGCTGGTCCTGACCCAATGTTGGATCCCAATCGCTTTCAGTTACATGTTCGATGAAAGTGGCTCCAGCATTGTGAGGAGTAGATGCAGGTGTCTTCTTTCAAGAACTTATGTTGGCGTTCCAGCCAACACACTGACCTGGCCTTGATTGCACGCACAAGCAAGATGAGTGCAGGATGAAGTGGATGGAGACAGGGCCAGCTCAACACAGGCTGTCCCATCTACTGACGAGTGCAAATGATATATTATTCGGGCAGCCCATGAGAGCGAAACTCCACAACCTCGCTGTGCTGTGCTGCTCGAACAGATACCTCGGTGGACTACGCCTCTGCACTCGCTCCTCGCTTCAACCCCAGAGTTTCCATCTTGCCTCTTACCAGGGTTAGTTGCTCACTCACTTAACCTTGGTAGGTTGCTTCCCTCTGGGTTGGACACGCCGTATAGGCTGATCCTACCTCCATGAACTGCGGCACCTCCCGACCGGCCCTTTTCATGCACTCCCAGTATCCGATGTCCATGTCAACCCAGTCTGGCCTACTTGCCCAAAGATTGGGAGTTCGGCCAGCGAAACCTGGGAACATGGTTGGTGGCTTCCCCTATCCGCCAGGAATCCCCCCTACTCGATGTAACTGCCTATCGAGCTCCTGGTTCTTTCCTTCAGACAACCAAGATTTCTTTCCATTCAAACATTGGCTGAACCCATCGTCCAAAAGCCTCGGAGCTGCCTTCCCAGCTGATGGACTCAACACAGTTCACTTATGGTGGCCAAGCCATAGTTTCTCTATCTATAACCAGTTCCATCGCTCTATTGATCTACAAACTTCATCTTGACGCTCAACAACCGCGCCGTCGTGGAGTCAGAAGAGGCCACTGACAACTTCCTACTATCCTTCCAATCAACACGCTTGTGGCAGCATCTCTTTTAGTCTTGTAGCTTTGTATTCTTGAATTGTCCGTCCGGACCGCCACATTCGCCACATTCGCCGCGATGTCGGAAACCACACCACTCATGCCTCGTCCGGCGAATGCTCCTCAGACGGACAGTCATGTAAGTTCACGCTCCAGGGTTGCAGAGAATGCATATGCAAAACCCTGTTCTGATCGACCTAGCCTATCTACCTTCGAGCATGCCACTCGCCATGGCGCATCATCAACCAGAAAGCACTAGCGGTCATCCGCCTTGTCATGACAGGCTACCTCATGGCCGTTGCTGGTGTCTCGATGAAATACAAGCTGGAGAACGAGGACGGACATACCAGATGGCGAATTCCGTTCCAGTTCTCGACGGTATCGTTTGTTCTGCTGCTTGCGTACAATCTTCAGGTCACGGTGCGACGCCCCAGCCATGTTACCCATTCTGTTCCAGGTTTCCAAATACCATGGCTAACTACTGTAAAAGGTCTGGACCATCATGCACCTTCTCCTCCCGCGACCGGTGCAGGAAGATGCGAACGACTGTCATGGCCACCGGGCCCGGAGCAGAGTCCTCAGTTTCCTGTCGCCACCGAACCGTGCGAACTGCCGCAACCGTCGCTTCTTCTTCAGCATGTTCTACACCGCCGCCCATGTCTTCACCTTCATGAATACAATCATTTACTGGGCTATTCTGGTGCCTGCCGGCCATGGCGGTTTCAAAACCCCCCATTTCCCACACCACCATCACTCGCCACACAACCAGACCCGTGCCCTGTACGACCCTCGTGAGTCCGCCCATAGTGCTTCTCGGCCCAGCACCAGCTTGAGACTTCTTGATACTGACAGCCGAGACAGACAAGGGGCTTTTTGAGGAGGATGATATCAAGGCCTTCAGCATTATCAACGTCTGGTCCGTTACTTCGGTAATCGGGCTGATGGAAGTCATGTTCTTCAACAGCATCCGACGCCAGACTGTGAGTATAGAAGCAGTCCGACATCGAGCATGCTGAGCTGACACCTTCTTGCAAGCCGGTCGCCAGTCATGTCGCAGGTATGATGTTCGCCAGTGGAACCTATCTGGCCTGGGCCGGTCTCGGCAAGCTTGCAACGGGTCATTCAGGGCTCTTCTTCCTGGACCCATCTCTGATGGGCGATGTCAAGGAGGCAACCGTCGCCGCAAGTCTTGCCTTCATCTCGCTTTCGCCTGGAAGTACGTTGCCCCACCGGCCTATATCTCATGCTTAGCAAACCATACTAACGAGCGGGTTGCAATAGTCTTTTCCTACATGTACGGTTTGATCGCGATGCGGGAGAGCATGACTGCGAATCATGACTCCAACCGCCTCAATTGAGGGCACCTTGACATTCGGCACAGGCTTACACACAGCGGTTGCGGCACAGTGGCAGCTCGCGGTGAAGACGTGTGATTCTTTGTGAACATCTGCATCGTGCTTCCAGTGACTCACTGAACGTACGCATCTGTGTTGGCCATCGGTTACGTGGGTGGGCGGAGGTCAGGTTAGAGGTGAGTGGACACGACCTGGTGGAGGCGGCGGAATAAGCTTAAATTGGCAATGCTGTATCCGATCCGCTGTACATTGATTCTGGAGGAGCTGGCGAGGCTTTCGTGAGGCATCTGTTAGGTTGACTATCCAAATTGATCCCATGCCCAAGTGCTACCCAATTGACTTGACTCACAACCGTGCCTGACCTTTTGAGCTCCTGACCTTGCGGGCTCAACTTACGGGTTCGCATGTTCTCTCGCCGGCTTCCCTCGTCTCGGGTGAAGAACGGCTACCGTCTTGGAGATGAGTCGCATTCGTTACGGGAAACTGGTCGCAACTTGGGAACTAATAGTTTCCGCATGTCTTTCTGGGCTCCTGGCGTTTGGCTAAGCTACATCTGAGGTAGTGTTCCAGTTTGACTCTCTGCTCGGGAACCAAGGCTTGTCAGGTACCAGAGGGACTGATAGCGCATCGCATGACGCTGTTCCTGAACGAGGCCTAACATCCCGGTTTTCCATCCCACATCGCCCCCACCCTCCCACGATCCCTCCAGTCACGAATTGTGCATGCGCAGGCTGGTGTCCGGCAGCCAGGATGACGTACCTACCCAGGTGCCTGGCCCAGCGCGTGCTTTGACTAGCCAATGCTCACGATATTTTTTCTAGGTCTCAATAGGAGGTAATGACATACCATGGGTAGTGAACAGAGTCGCATCACCACATTGGGCTTGTTGCAATGTCCATTTAAGGGCCCATCTCCCAAGGAGGCAGTGCTTGTCCGCCCGACGTGGCTGGGACTGCGCCGCCCAAACATGTTGTGCCACGAGGACTGTGGGTGATAACTAGATATTTGGGCGTTCTAGAGTTTAGAAGACCAGCACAACCTGCTTCTGCTTCCTGCGCTGTCCGAGGACTTTCTCCCCAAGCCTGCCTAGTCTCTTGAAGCTACTTGTCCCATGCTTGTCATCTGTTCACGGAGGATAATCTCCACATTGCAGACGCTGGGCTGGATGCAAACTCGATCAAGGTACCTACGAGGCGCTGGGTGGCCACATAGAGGCAACCAGCAGGGTTGGTGCCTGTTTTACTGGTACCCATGGACCCATTGGGCGTTTACTGGGAAGATAGGCGACGATCTGACAACTGACTGAGCGAGCCAGAGTCTTGGCGCGGCGGCACATCCTGGCGCGGTTGCCCCTACGTAAATCATGTAGGACCCTTGCTAGTATAAATATCAACAACCACCCCCTCCATTTCTAGTCGGTCTTCCCTTTGTTCTCCCTCCCCCACCACAACCATCAGGGTCGCAAAGCACTTCAAGGATATCTCCAGATTCATTCGTTTGTCTCCGACCGAATTGCACTCTGGAATATACCGCCCGGGCCCGTGTCAACTTTTTTGTGCGTCAACTCACCTTCACTCTCTAGCGGAAACCAGAGTCCTCTCAATACAAATACACGCTCTTTTCGTCGCTCTCTTGCAAGTAACACCGGAAAAGAAGGAGGATAAAAAACATAGCTCTTCCCGGGGTTTTCTGTTTTTTGGTGCCTTTTTTCTTGCTTTCCTGTTTTTCACACCTCGAAAACCACGTCTCGATTTCTTTCGCTCCTCCGATTCACTACCGTCGCCATGTTCAAGCGCTCGTTCCGGTCCCAGGACCGAGTCGACAAGGCGTCGAGGCTGAAGAAGTCGAACACCATTCGAGGTGACCCCCAGAAGCTGTCGAAATTGCAGCGGTCGCTCGAGGAGAGTATGCCTGTGAAGAAGACTCTCAACTCACCCATTGTCACCCTTACCGTGGGTCGAGAAGGGCGACTGTTTGCGGCGCATGAGGAGGTCTTGTGTCAGTCGTCGTTCTTTGAGCGCGCCTGCCGAGACCAGTACCTCGAGGCGCAGAGTAAGAGGATATCTCTTCCGGACGAAGAACCCGAAGTCTTCTCGGCTGTGCTTGAGTATCTCTACAAGGGCGACTACTACCCACGCTTGCTTCACAACAAGCACCGAAACTCTTGGGAACTCGAAGATGCGAACACAGCCGCGGGAAGGTCTCCGGTCTCATCAGAAAACGGAGGCGGCCGCGGAGCCGTGGAAGCCACAACTTACGTGTCCAGCGTAGGGCAAGCCCTGCTCAGGGATACCGTCATATACTGCATCGCGGAACGCTTCGGGCTCGAGGAGCTCAAGCGCCTGGCTCTGCGCAAGCAGGGCCTGCAGAGCGGAATCGACGTCGCGACCATTCTGCGATCGGCACAGTATGCCTATGACAACACGCCGGACTCGGACTCGCGACTCCGCGCTCATTACCTCGCTTTGATCATTAGATGTCGCAAGACATTTAAGAGGAGCGGAACCATGCAGGCGGAGATGGAACGGGGCGGTAAACTTTTTTTCGACTTGTTCGTGGCCATGTGCAACCACCTTGACGACGTCGTGGAGATGAGCAATGCTCGGACACCAAAGACGATCTGAAAGGTTGCGTAGCCTTGTGCCATTGCAATGATAGTCACCTTGGGTCTTGATTTTCGGCGCTGGACTTTTGGCGAGGGACGGAGTTCTGTTACGAGGTACATGATGATTTCTTCTGTCTTTCCCCCAACTCAGCCTCTCCCAGATTGCACTCATCAGATTGGAACACCTTTTGGGAGAGTTTACAATAACCCTCCACTTCTCATCGAGGTTGGCCGACCTATTTGATGTAACGCCATTCCGGGAGAGAGGGGCGTGATTGTACACGATGCTTTCATTGCCTCTGTCTCTTGTTCTAATGACCCAAAACCCCATCTCCGCGTGATTATTACCCCTGGAATCTTTGGGCTGGGTTAGGTCTCTGGATGGCTTGTACTTGGATTTTGATTTTCGGATCGGTTCGATGAGCGATACACGCGAAACATCGGCTTCAAAGATTGGGAAAGTTTACCCCGATACCGAAGAAGTTTGTCTTTTCAACTGCGTTGCTTTTCATCGCGGTGGGCATGGTGACGGTACGTCGCATGCGATGTGCTCCAACCGATTTGCCACCGCCTGGGCAGGCGGGGAGGACGAATGGACCACAGGCTGGCGCGACCTCTTCGCTGCCATGACATCTCCTATGTGCCAAGATTGTGAAAGTCTGAACTCGACTTGGATAGAACGAGTGAGGATATCGATGCTGTATTTGGTTTCGCTATCGTGCAAGCGGGTGTAGGATGGACTGAAGATAGTGTCGTCTAGATGACTAGCTAATTCGCCCACTGTCCCTAGTGGACCAGCCCTGACTTGAACCCTCGTCAGGGTGAGGTAATGAGAAATTCGGCCACCTCAACTATGTTGTGCTTTATAATGCGTGAAAGTCAGCCGCCATTTGATGTTAATACCAAGGCTTCAAATGTGCTTGGCTTCTAGTGTTCCGAGATGAACGTTGTGTTTGTCGAACGATCCCTGACCGCTTTGTGTATCGCCATGACCTTGATGTTATATGCTTCTGCAGTCTTGAGCCACACAGGCGGAGTGATATGTGAGGCTAGTATAGAGATTATCTTAACAGCTAACTAACGGTTGGCTGGGAATGCGCAGCACCATCCTGATGGTGGCACGCATTATGTTATTCTCCTGCCTCTCGATTATTAATGGTGATTAGTGCCTGCTAGTCTGCGCAGCATTTGCATGCAACCATTTAAACATGCACCACAGCTGTTACTTTGCACCTTTCGCTAGCCCATTCATGCATCTAAGGTCACGAAATGCTGCTTGAGGGAGAGCTAGAGTCTGATGTTTTTGAATATCGGCCCACCCCAATTGAGCATCTGGCCCAAGCTGCCATATTTATAGGCAGCGTTGCTTACTAGATGAAGCCGAAACCAGCATCCGAGATATACAGCACAATTTCCGGCGACATGCACCATGCAAGCCTAAAATATCGTCCGGCTTGGACCCGGGTATCGAAATTGGCATACGGTAGATCCTGCTGGAAGGAAAAGGACATCAATAGTACAAGCCATGTTCTAATGCTGCGTGTCACAAGCGGCTCGCTTACGGGAATAAAAGAGGGAGCTATGTTCCTGCATTTCACCACATCGTTCAACCGGCTTGGCAAGTAATGGGAAGAGTCGATCTCAGAATTCCAGGAAAAGTTGGCAGGTCTCAGTCGGAGCGGAAGATAACGTTGCCCTACTCGGAAGATCGGACCCGCGAGGACTGCGTGGTTATGAGAGCCATGTCTCTTTTGACTCCTTTGATTCGTCTCACGCGGACTGCCGCCCCCTTTAGCCTCAACTCGAACCCATAGATAGCCTCCGCGGTACTGGGGCCATGGCTACACGGATACTGGTGTATAAATACCTAGACATGGCGCTATCGCAAGACTCCATTGCGTGACCAATTCTCCGAGCCACATTGCATTCGCTTAAGTGGCCTCAGGATTTGGGTGACGTCGCCTCGCAGACGGCTGGGAAAGCTTTGCATGCGCGAGAAATAAAGCGGGCGATATCGATCTCAAGATGGGTCAGGCACCATCCTCACCCGGACCATTGGGTACGAAGTTCCGGGTTATCGGAGCTGGAATGTATGTACCATCGTGCTGGCGTAGTGCTTCATACTCCTGCCCAGCCTCTTTGGGACTTGAACCCCTCCTGAACATCACTAAGAATGGACAGGTCTAGGACAGGCACCAAAACTCTGAACCAGGCGCTTACGATTCTTCTCGATGGACCAGTCCACGATTCGGGCATCCAATCACTCGGAGGCTCAATACACGAAATGAAAACCTGGTTGGAGATCATGAACCTTGCCCCAAAGGCCAAGACATTTGCCGAGCGTAAAAAGCTGGATTGGTTGTTCTCCTCAATACTGGAAGGCTATGTTGCCACCATGGATTGCCCAGCTGCGACTCTCGTGCCCGAAATCATGAGGGTCTATCCGGACGCCATCGTGATCGCGACAACGAGGGACCACAAGTCCTGGTGGAGAAGCATGGAATATATGAACAGTATGATGTCGACGTGGTACTTACCCATCCTTGTGCTTTGGTTGCACAAGGCCCAAGTCTACGGGCTATGGGCGGAGCGGTTCCAATCCATCATGCTATGGCGTTACGGAGACGAGCAGATCGTCGAAGGTACCATACAAAAGCACGAGGACCACCTGAGACGCGAGGTGCCGGCAGAGAAGCTGTTCTGGTATGAAGTAAGCGAGGGCTGGGAGCCGCTGTGCCGGATTCTTAACGTACCCATTCCCAACCAGCCGTTTCCGCATAACAACAGCAAGGACGACGCGAGGAAGGTATTCCAGGAACACGTCATAGCTGGGGTGAGTTCATGGATATTCATGCTAACTTTATGTGGGGTGGGTATCTGGTATCTTGTGGGCTGGTATCATAGATATCTTCATCGGTAGAATCTGAGGGGTGTCTTTTTCGGGTATCCTACGAAGAGTTACTAAATTGTCAAACACAAAATGTATCATTTCACAGCCAACACTGCCTACGAAGCCAAGTGGTCACAATATACCAGGGTTTGAATAGTGCTGGCAGTGCCAGCGTCCCTATCATGATTTTCCCTAAAGGACTGATATAAAAGACTCTGGCGCGAGGTGGAATATCAATGTTACAAGGCATTTCCTGACCGTGTTCCTCTCTGTCGGGGAGATTTCCGCACCTGAAACCCGCAGAGGCAAGGCAGACTATGCCGGATGCCCAGGGTGGACAATGTCCTATGACGATTGTCCAAATCCATATACTGTATCAAAACCCAGAGGCCGAGAGTACACCATGGCTGAAGATGAATACTATGTACTTGAGTACATAGGCACGACGACATGGCGTGCCCCACTTTCGTCATGGGCGGAACTGAGCCGCCCTGCTTGTATTTTTCTTCACCCAAACTGCCCGAGCCCCGCGCTGGGGAGCTACAGAGTTACCTACCCACCTACCTTACATCGACCTCCGTCCCGTTCCTCGAAACTGTCTGCGCAAGCACATCGGATCGCGGCAGCCTCCCAAGAAAGTTTAAGTGGGCGATCATAGACATTCACTGGCAGGACCTCCTTACCCTTCAAGAGTCATGGCGTCCAGCAGTAGCACGCCGCCGGTGGCACCTAAGCCGACGGCCATCGTCTGCGTCGGCATGGCGGGATCGGGCAAGACAACCTTTATGCAACGCATCAACGCCCATCTTCACGGCCAGAAGGAACCGCCGTATGTCATCAACCTGGACCCGGCAGTGCTGAATGTGCCGTTCGAGTCCAACATTGACATCCGCGACTCGGTCAACTACAAGGAGGTCATGAAGCAGTACAACCTTGGACCCAATGGCGGAATCTTGACGAGTCTGAACCTGTTCGCGACCAAGGTCGACCAGATCGTGGGTTTGCTGGACAAGAGAGCGGCCCCAGAGGACGGGAAGAAACCTATTCAGAATATATTGGTAGATACACGTAAGTTCTTGCCCCGGCCCGCCGGCTTCCCCAGGGCGTCAACACTATCTGCTTACACATCTGCGGGCGACAGCCGGGCAGATCGAGGTTTTCGTCTGGTCCGCCTCGGGCCAGATCCTGCTGGAGTCCCTCGCCTCGTCATTCCCCACTGTCATCGCGTACATCATCGACACGCCCCGCACAGCCTCGACGAGCACCTTCATGTCGAACATGCTCTATGCCTGCTCCATCCTCTACAAGACAAAGCTCCCGATGATCTTGGTCTTCAACAAGGCCGATGTGAAGGACCCATCGTTCGCCAAGGACTGGATGACAGATTACGACGCATTCTCCGAAGCGCTCCAAGCGGACGAGGCCAGCAATGCTTTTGGCGGCGTCGAAGGCGAGGGCGGAGGCAGTGGATATATGAGCAGCCTGTTGAACTCGATGAGCTTGATGCTGGAGGAGTTCTACACCCATCTGAGCGTGGTTGGCGTGTCGTCCATGACGGGTCAGGGCGTGAACGACTTCTTTTCCGCAGTCCGAGAGAAGGCAGATGAGTTCAACCGCGACTACCTCCCCGAGTTGGAGAGGAAGAGGGCGGAGCGCGAGGATGTAAAGCGCAAGACGCGGGAGAAGGAGCTTGAAAAGATGATGAAGGGGATGGGCATGGACTCGGACAAGGCAGGCAGCAGCCGAGATATGGTGCAGGATCCGACCGACAATGATGACGTCGAGGTCCCGAGTGATGATGAAGAGGATGATTACCCCGACGACGACGAGATGGATCGTGAGGGCCTCCAGGCGAGATACGAGGCAGCCATGGAGGGCAATGCAGATTCGACCATGGCAGATGCGAGCTTTGCTAAGTTCCTACACACACAGAGGCAATAGGTTACCGCGGCACATTGGCATGGGTGGTGGAAAGATTGCAGACGGAGAAGAAGGATATATAGCATAGATGGTCGTTCGGTTGGATCGGGTCGGCGTAATTGATACCATTTTGATTTCAAGGCATCTAACAGAAGAACGCAATGGTCTGACCAACTCCAAAAACTCCACCGGACCCTCGACACAAATCCTGGCGCACAATGGGAGTCACACCCCCTATCGTCGAACGTCTGGGACTTTCGCCAGTTTCTACTTGCCAGCTTCTTACTCGTGCCTTGCAGACGTAGCCAGCTCCCTAGGTAGTCATACTTGTATTGAGTAGACTTGCCCGGAGCACTAGCATGAAGCTCCCTCGACCTCGGCCTTACGCTATCCCCCTCATGCTTGCAAAGTCGTAGAATCGCCTTGTTGCCATATCACCGCGCCTCGAACTGGACCATTCTACCGCGAGGGGTCAGTTGGTGCAGCATGGGGTGTGGTTCGGGGCCCAGCGTGCCCATACGACGTGACATACCTTCTGGTTCTTTCCTTGTAGAGGACTCGACAGCCGCACTCGATGCAACGGATAGTGTCGCCGCGCTTCAAGGGAAACTTGGTTCCGCAATCTCCGCAGATGTACAGCATGGGGAGTCCTTCGTTGTCAACGGCACGGCCCGCGACGGCGGCGTTGCCAGCGCCAGGGCCGCCGGCGCCTTGAGAGGTGGGAATCTGGTAGGCTTCTCGGGACATGGTGGATGACTGTGTCTAGGCGTTGGGCGTCTATTGGACGTGCTGCCGAGCGAGGCCGCGACGAGAGCACAGATGCGTAGCTGTGGCGTTTGGGGTTTTGGGTGGAGTGTGAACGGGCAGTGCTATCAGCGTGATGCGATGTGATGCGATGCGATGCGATGTAGAACCGATGGATTCAAAGAAATTCAGGCGGTGAAGGAGGGGCCCAAGCGGCAGAATTCCAGCGGAGGGCGTTACCTAATCAAAGCCTCCGGGGAGCTTTTCAGGCGCGGAAGTACCTGTAAGCCAGGTAGTTTACATTAGCCTGGAAGTGCTTAACTAACCTGAGTAACTGACCAAAGGGTAGGTACTACAGGTAGGGGGGATCGACTGGGTTTGGGGACCTCGGTAACTAACTCCTCCGCCAAAATCACACCCGAGACTACCTGCCTACAGTAACAGTAACCCCAGGTACCTCCAGATCTAGGGAGCGTGTCGGGTTCGACATTCACCACTCGAAGTCGACGTTGAGTAACACTCAAATATCGCCCGCGTTTTCGCATTCCCTTCCATTGGGCCTTGCCGCCAGACCAGCTGATATCCCTCTCCTCCGCCACCCCAGACCGATCTTCAAGGGTATGCGAGTCTGGTAGATCAGGGACTGCACCCTCTTACCGTGTGCGTGATCCCTACCAACGGACCGAGCCAGCTAGCCAGCTACCCACCGCCCGCATATCTGCGTACAATCGCAGCAACTCAGCCCAGCTGGATTCACCGCCATCTTCTGTCGTTTTCATATAATTATATTTATTTCATCCTAGCATACTACACCATGGCTTCACACGCCTTTGATCCGACTATTCTTCCCCCTGCAGCTCCTTGCCCCTTCTGCAACATTGCATCTGCATACGCCTCGTACGACCCAAGCGCACCACCGGCTGCCGACTCTCCCGTCCTCGATCCCGAAAACGTCTCCCCTCTGAGCTTCATCGTTCTCTCAACGCCCACCTTGCTCGCTTTCCTCGACATCCTGCCCTTGTCTCGAGGTCATTTGCTGCTCTGCCCCCGCCGCCACGCCTCCAAGTTGACCGATGTCTCGACAAGCGAGGCCGCCGAGCTGGGCGCGTACTTGAGAATCCTCAGCAAGGCTCTAGTGCGAACGACCGGGGTCGCGGACTGGAATGTCGTGCAGAACAACGGTGCCGCTGCGGCTCAAGTTGTCGACCACGTCCACTATCACCTGATCCCGCGCCCCGAGATCAGAGCGAGTGGCAAGCTGCGAGAAAGTTTTACCATGTTTGGGAGAGGACAGCGGGAGGAGCTTGACGACGACGAGGCCGTCGAACTGGCGGCAAGGATACGGCAAAACATACAACTAGTCCTGGACGAGGAGGCAGGCAAAGGGAAGCTTTGAAAGGACACACTTTATGCGAACTCGGCCGGCACCGGCAACACCTTGCATCACGGAAGCCTGGCCACGGAACCTATCGTACCATTCGATTTGGAGATTGTGGTACTCTTCCCGGGGGCCGTCTCTATTTCATAGCTGAGACTGTCTGGCAACCGTCCGGTCACGACTATGCGTCGCTACCAACCAGCGTCAAAGTCGTTACTCCCCAATAGCATCATGCTCTACTCATCGTCACCGAAGAAGACCTTGACAGGCAGCCAATCGTCTCCGCAGACCTTAAATCGATCCGGCAAGCTCGAGAGCTTCTTGAGCTCCTCCTCCGTCAACTCCCACCCATCGAGATCGAAGTTGCCCTCAATACGCTCCTTGGTTACCGACTTGGGAATGACGTCCCAGCCGTTTTGGATGCCCCACTGGAGGAGACATTGTTGCGGCGTCTTGCCCTTGGCCTTGGCGAGAGACAGAAGCGTTTCGTCCTTGTAGAGCGGCGAGTTGGTGCTGCCCAGGCAGGAGTAGCCTGTCAGGTGGATGCCCTTGTCTTTGCAGTACTGAACCAGCTTGGGAGACGGGTTATTAGGGTGCAACTCGACCTGGTTGACGGCCGGGACAATCTGTGCCTGATGTTAGTGTTCACGAAACAGACCGAGGTCGGCTACACCGAGCTTCGATGTGCTTCTGGGACCTCATACCTTGCAGGATGGGTCGTTCAACAGCTTCTCCAGGTTGGTGATTCCAAAGTTGGAGACACCGATGTTGCGCACTTTCCCAGTTCCTACGAGCTTCTGCAGCTCACGCCAGGTGTCGACGAAATTCCAATCGTCATAGTGCTTCTTTAGATCATCCGGTCGAGTACTGCTGGGCCAGTGCATGAGATACAAGTCAACGTAGTCCATGCCCAGATTCTTGAGCGAAGTGTCGATGCCCTCAGCAACGCGCTTGTGCCACGGGTTGTCGAGCTTGGTCGTGATCCAGAGTTGCTCGCGGGGAACTCCAGAGGCACGAACGCCGGCTCCGACCTCAGACTCGTTTCCGTAGGCAAAAGCGGTGTCGATGTACCGGTAGCCAGCCCGGATTGCTGCCTCGACGGCAGTAGCCGTGGCATTTTGGGGAGATTGCCATGTTCCCAGCCCAATGGCGGGCATCTTGTCACCCGAGGCGAGGGTGTATGTCTTCTTCGTGTGTTCAGGAGCCATGGTGGATGTTTCTGCAGTTGCTATAGAGTAGGAGAGAGAAAAGAGAAAATGATCTGAAGAGCGACTGGGGAATCGCCAGACTTTTGAGGATCATCCAAGACCGCCATATGACGCAGGCGGGCCAGCAGGGTGGGATGTCGCATTGTTTCTCATCGTCATTGCTGCGGGTCGCGGCTGGTGTCTCCTAACCCCCCACCTCCAGCTCAGGGCATTGAGCCTATGAATTTTCTTCGCTGTCCAATTGCCCTTGCCGCGATGTCTCCTAGACCTGCTGAGGCCTGTCAATTCGGACCGAACTGGTCCTTTAACAGTTGGAAATCCATCGGCCACCCGGCTGGACCTTACTTTGCGATTCTCAAACTCTCCATGCGCGCCAATGAGCTTGTATCATCAACCCCCCGCGAACCTAAGGCGCGATGGCGTCGACGACGGTGGGGCCAAATGAGGGTCATTCGCAAATCGCATAGCATTGGGCACCCGGCCATCAGCAAGCCGACTGCATCAGCCTGGGAGCCATGCGTTGTCGTCCGTCCATAAGTGGATAGAGAGATACCGACTCACAACCAGGTAATAACCTAAGCAAGGTCGCGCTTGGTCACCCGTCACGTGTCTCTACGCCTTACGATATGTTGCTCTCTTGTTGACACAGGGCGTGTCTTTGACGTTCGTGCGCCCTTTAGTCGGTTCAGCCGGTGTCGCTGACGTGTTCAACAAGTGCAAACCACCATCGTGAGGCATGGCTATAGGATTGGAATTGATTTTGTCGATCAGTACATATTGCCCAAAATACTTGGCCGTGCAAGCCGCCGAGTTATGTTGCTCAATCGCCGTCAGCCATAAACCACCCATAAATTTTTTGTTATAGCCAAACGAGCAACTATCTGATGTATGTGTTAGTTTTCAGACAGTGAAATTGTAACTGGCAGACACATTCAGCTCCGACGGCCACCAATCTATCCCACAAACTCATTGCTGCTTCTGAGCTGGTCACAATAGACAAGCCCGTCGAGTTACACAAAACAGCAGCAACCCGAGTGTTCGAGGCGCAACATGACAGGGATCAGCCTTCGATATCGCGTTGCAACACCAGAAGATATTGGGCTTCTTCTTCCCTTGATCAACTCAGCTTATCGCGGAGAAGAAAGTCGCGCCGGCTGGACGACGGAGGCCGACCTCTTGATAAGTGAACGCATCGATGCTTCTGGCCTGTTGGACAAGATTCAAAGCCCAGACACCGTGATCCTCCTGGCTGCAGACGGAAATGATGTCCTGGCATCTTGCTGTGAGCTGGTCTGGCGTCCTGAGAAGGGCATTGCATATTTTGGTCTCTTCGCCGTGAACCCTAAACGTCAAGGAGGCGGCATCGGGCGTCAAGTCTTGTTATATGCCGAGGACTACGCATCGCGACAATGGGGTGCGTATAAGATGGAAATGACTGTCATCTGGCTGAGAGAGGAGATTATTGCGTGGTATGCCAGGAGGGGATACCGAAAGACTGGCGAGACACGTCCGTTCCCGTATGCTGATATTGGGAACGGGAAAGCCCTACGGGGTGATCTTTACTTTGAGGTGTTGGTGAAGGACATTCAAGAGCGTAACTAGCTGAGAGTATAGAACGACACAAACGGATGGTTATATGAAAACAGACTGGTGGAATGATGTATATCAATGTGTATATACAAGTAAGGTTTGAGTGGCAGAGCCCCCGAATTTGGAAAGTTGATGGTAACCTTATCGAAATACAGAGTCCATAAAACCAGGACTGAAGACGCAGTGGTTGCGTTCCGGGAGGCATGCTTGCACATCGTAAGTGGACCAAGCTGCTGGCAACTTGGCCCGAAGCAAAATGTGGCCTCTTACACGTCTGATTCTGTCTGCTTGATGCGAAATGGTAGTCGAACGCCCCTTGGGCCACGATGCCCGCGTTGAAAATCACCGAGCACCATGGAATCAGCGGATAATGATGCAGCCATTCAATGCATAAAACCAGCGAACACGCTTTTGATGACCTCCCAAACCACCAAAGTACACCTGAACTCCTTCTATGCTATCACGTCGTGCCTTCAGGGAAGCACGAGAGAGAGCGATGATTCTCAAGCCTGCCGAGACAGTACGGTCACCGTTGCGAGCGGCGTTCCTCATAGGCTTTCATGGCAGCCTCGAGCTCCGCGAGACTCGATCGGTCTCCATACGCATTCATCATAGCATCAGACTCTGCTTGGCGTTGCGCTGCTGACTGCGAGAACTGAGCGTGCTGTTGGTCGATCTGGGCCTGCTTGTATTTGGCGATTCCGTAGCCTGAGCCGAGGTTATGAGGTCAGCGCTCCGCCGTCGAGAAAGGCCCGGGATGGCACAAACAACTCACCAATGCCGACCGTAGCAACTGCAGCCGGTACCCTTCTGATAGTTAACATTTTTGTGCGACGCAAGCGCATTCTGATCGTCGGCTCATATGGGGGAAATGGCATACAGCTTCTTTTCCACACGGCTGGCCTTGTGTAAGCTTGGGAGATATGCCGGATGAACTCCCGAAGTAGTGGAGAAAGGCCGCGCTGTTCGTTGGGACATAATGGCGGACGGCCTGTGTCAATTTGGAGGTTGAGCGAGCTACGTACGCGGCTTGGATCTTGGAGAATACAACACGCCACGACATGTCACGACAAGAGCTGGGAAGTGCAGACTCGCACGAGGATGCGCAGACTTATGAATGCAACCAGCACCAACCCTCGCAGCAAAAGCCCACGATCATGAGACCCAACAACCGTCAGATCTCAAGACGAGCTTGCCGGAAGGCCTGTGATATTCTTGGCTAGAGGAGTCGAGCTAATGCTGGAGACTTACCCAGTGATACCCGAAACGTTCCTAATTGTTCCGCCACGGGCCCAGCTTAGGGGATGCTAGTGAGCAGCCCGGTATGCAACAGGCGGCAGAGTGGTGTGGCCGGCCTGTTTTTGCTTGGCTGGGGACGCCCCCAATCTTAGCGGGGAAGATCGCCCTTGCTGCATCTGTCGTCTGATCGTGGGGTTGGATGCGGGCAGCCGGAAACTACCTTGCGGTAGTTCAGGCACCGCCAAAAGCTGGTCGGGAGCGTAGCGCCGAGGTCCACATAATTCCCATGTGCTGATGCTGTACATGTTTTGGCTGGGCTTGAAACGGCTTGACTGCTCTTGGACTTGCAACAGCCGCGGGGCGGCAATATCTGGAACCAGCCATGTATTGCAACCAAACTGATGGGATAGGACCTATCCACACGCCAATGTTGACACGCTTGGTAGAAACATGCGAAACAGTCCCCGCGCATCACCTCAACGCGAATCTATTAATACTACCGCCTGCTAGGCGGGTATGTCCCGCCATAGCGCAATTTAGATTCAAACCGCCCAAAATCTGGCAGTCCTAAAACGCTGCCATTCACCGACCCTGGTTGCAACTTTGAGACTCACCAAACACATGTCTATGCGGCTTTATCGCTGTTCGGAGACTCGAGGATGGGCCGAGAATAGAAGACGCTGATTGGTACCAAAGCTAAGATGCGTAATGTGCCCTTTCTCATGAGAAGATTGACAACGTCAACAACACGACGTCGACTGGTAGGTCATGCAAAGAGTCTCAAGTGCCTACGAAGTAATATTCGTGTTGTGGCTCTAATTAGAAACAGCTACAACCGAGTGATAAATGAGACACCGTATTCGAAACGAAGTATTATACTTCTCAGCTTCTGTACGATTTGAGCACGCTGAGAGAACTGCGACATCTGAGTCTGAGTGCGTGACTGCTGCAGCCTTAGTAAAGTTTGATAAGGTGACAGCTTTTCGAAAGTACTACTCGAATTGATGCGCACAAGCGTAATATGACTTGGAGATTCATGAGACTCATGTATACAGTATAGGCTGCCAGCGCATTTCATTCAATACACGCACGATTCCCCCACTTCAACTGACTCTCTAGTACTTTTATTCATCAAGAGGGGGAAAGAGCTGGTGCTTTTCTCAAGGCTGGCTATCATAAGAATAAGAGTGGTCATTATAGAGGTGATGAAAATGTACATGTAAACCATGTGACTCAATCATCACTATAAGCTCCCTGCCTTCAGGGAAAGGATGGTGGTAACGGATTGGGTCTTGGTCATCCAGATTAGGTCTGTAATTCGCGCTAGATATCTGGGAATCCAGTCAGCAGTGTGGAGAATCACGTCCCTAGTTCAAGTAGCTAGCGATTCATTATTTTTTTAATATCGAGGCATAAGCCAGTTCGGGATTGGGATTGGCAAGTGCATGCCCTCGAATTTCAAGGACTATACACTCTTGACAGTTCGTCCGTCTTGAAGGGTCTCTTCCCGTTGACAGCGAGGAATGATTGTTTGAAAAGGATACTTAACCGTAATTTTAGGATATAATATTTTGACTATCGACTTTTGCGCTGTGTGCTGCTTGCGTATGAGAATAGATACATTTGTACGCGCATCCAGCGCCGGGCATTTGGAATTCTTCAGTGGCTTGTGAATATGCTAGCTGCGTGTCACTGTCCATTTCGATTCCACTTCGATTCCCTGCAAAGGGAATGGCTGTGAAGATGCGGTCAAGCTCTTCTCGGACCCTGATTCATCGCCATCCGCCATCACGACGGCATTATGCTTGGCCCTATCCTGAGGGCGATAATCGTTCATTTCCCACGAATTCGCTTCTCCGACAGTCCTCACTCGGCTATCTTTGCCAGAACGGCTCTTTTCTCGGTACCTGCTTGCTTCGAAGTCGCTCGGATATTCATGGAGCCGTGAGTTCGAGGTGCGCTTTTTGTACATGTGATAAAAAGGTCGCAACATGGGCACGCTAACGCAGAGGATCGCTAGATTGGGCTCTAGAGTGAAGAGGAAAACCGTGGTTGGCATAGTGCCGGTGACGTTGCTGTTCAGATCGACGGTCGAGATGTAAACCAGACGGAATACGGCGCACACCACGCAGCTGATGAAAGGATTAGTAAACTTGTCTAGTATGAATGGGTTTAGGAGACTGTACGCTAGACCCAGTGCGAAGGAGGCTGTGATGCCAATCTTGTCGGTCCGTCGTGTCTGAAGTCCCCAGATAGTCTGCATAGGTATCGCCATAATGATTATATCTCCAACAGCGTTTGTCACGATCAAGGACTGAATCATGGAGATGTAAGCGCCACATTTGCCGAGACCAGTCCATTGCGCTGACACTGGCGTACAGATGAAGATGCATCCGCAGAGATATGCGATCATCCAGGCTGCCACAAAGCCCAAAGTGATCTTGGCTGTTGTCTGTACCGATGGAGTGACAAATACACGAATGAAGAAGCAAAGCATGCTGGCTTTTACCGCGGCGAGCAGGGTTACATACACAATCTGCATGCAGAATGTCACCTGTTCAACCACGTCAATCAGTCACCTCCAGTTCCAAAGGCACCTTCAGGGTTTTACGATGCACGCACCTCTAAAATGTAAGAAATATTGGCGGCAACTACATCATGAAGAAGTTAGCAGGACCTTCTAAACTCGCAAGTATGGAAGAGGAGCATGATCCTTTCGGCATATTTGTTCACTCCTCAATACTTAGGGGATGCTTACGCTCTGGGTGTTCGGATAAGTTATACCCATTTCCCACGACGGAAACTTGGGTGGACTTGTCAGTATTTACTAAAAATCTTCCAGTCTTTCGAGGGTTCGAAAGACTTACAGAGGCCCTGGCAAACCAGCATTGCAACTCCTAGAGGCTTTGGACTTAGGTCAGCACCAACGTCATGGATGGATTAGAGACTGAACATACAGTGCAGAATACAACCAGTGCATCATCCCAACCTAGTCCCGGGCCAATGATACGGCCGACGACTCGGAGTATAACGACGAGCAGAACGAGAAAGACAACGACGCAATTAATAATGAGTTCGGCCCGTACGAAGCCCAGAAGTGGAAGAAAGACCTCGGGGACCGCCATGGCAGAAATCTAGGAGCGTGATGACGGTACCAGTGCACGCGACGAGGGTGATTTGGAGGAGGCCAATTCTCTCTATTTATCAAGCACTACCCCTGAGGCCCACGGAATGCTTTCACAAATCCTGCAGTTCGCCCAGATCCGGGCAGGGGAATCCCGATGGCTCTAGTTCCAGCAGAGACTTGGACAACCATGTAATTGGGTCATCTTTGCCTAGAATAGTTAATCGAAGCTGTTCCGCTGTTTTGGTTGGGGCTTGCCAGCCCACTTGGGCGTGTCAGCCCACTTGGGCGTGTCTAGTGGGCGGGAAAGCAACAGATGCGGCAATACCGTCGTGGCCGTTTTGGGCCCCTCGTAACGGGCGCTAGAACCGGAGGCGAATCGCCGACGGCGGCATTGTGTGGTGGGTAGGGCTTAAAGGCGAATACGGGCGCTCGTTACTAATTGCAACCCGCCCTTGTGTTCGAGGCTTATGAATAGGGGATACGCTAGAGCGGTGTCACTCCACAACGCTAACGAACGGCCAATCGATCATTCCTTGAAGGAGTGCGGACGCCGCACATGGGGCGGAAATGATCGTAAGGGAAGGGTTCTCTTAGCTCTTTGCGATGGAGTCTGTGGATAGGATGGGCACAGACTGGACTCAATAGAGGGCTGGACGACTGGTCATCGGTATTGGGTGCGTCGTAGGCCGTCACAATCGGGTTTCTTTCGTTGCAAATACAGACGTGAGGGCTTGGAGCTGATAACATTGCCAACCCCAAGCATCAACACTTATTATAGGCATTTGCTACCTCGGGGAAAACTTTATATCATTTGTTTCACCTATCCCGACTGCGCCGTGCTTCCCTCTGACTCGCTCGGACTCCCTCACATCTTATCAGCAATCTTATCAATCCAAATTCTGAGATACATGATTTACACCACTCAATACGCACCGAAGCATCCTCTATCAGCCAAAATCTGTCACCGGCGTGTACCACTAAAAGAATACCCCTCCTTCCTAGTTATCAAACCAACGATCGCAGTAGATCACAGATTGAAACCACTCTTAAGAGAGTCCGATTATCTAACTAGATTTTCAACGAAAACTCACACTTTTAAACTACAGCGTTTGCAGAACGCAAGGCTGAGTCATGCTCCCAAAGCTCCGGTAAACTAGGTCTCACAGTTCGTGTAGATGAAATTCCAGATCTCTGATCACAAAGATCGATTACTGATCAGCTGAAAATTCAGGAGTCCAAGATCTTGATCTTTAGAGGATAACCTGCAGGGCTCGGAATGCAAGGCTTCCCTGCTAGTGGGAGTCTTGGCAACCATTTTTCTGGGTTACAAACTTGAGACCCAAAGGGAGGGATCCAGCGCCATGTGGGTGCATGCATCCACTAAAGTGGCGTGGTGCTTGGGTGTCACAGACAAGCCTGGCAAGGCGTCAGGTTGAAAAAATCGCTATGAAAGATAACATACGTCTAGGACATTGGCATCGATACCGATGGCCTCCAATGCTGATCGTCCATGGGAATAAGGGGTTACGGTTTCAGATGCCGTCGCTCCCAAGGTTGTGTAAGTTTTCTCCAAACGAAGACCATGTTGAATTGCATTTCCCTGCCTCTAGTGGATGATGCTGAATTCTAATGATAGACAGCGAGATTTCTCAGTGGCATGTTGCGTAAAATACTTCAACAGCACTTTGCTGTCTGTTTTCGATCTTAACAAGTTTGAAGCCAGTTCGATATCCGACAGAATGACGCCTGGTTGCCGGTCTTGCTACAAGGGCTCTCTCGCGAGGACCCTGTGATTTGATAGCCTAGGCCTGCCGGCCAGGGGTTTTGGCATGCCCAGACTAGCAGGGAGAACGAGTTACATTATGGCCCTTGTTTGGTTCTAGTACGATAGATCACCAGGCCATAAACCCTAGTGCATTTTCCGCGCTGTCGCTTGAAGAGACGAGATCGGCAGATCACTTCAAGGTGATAGACACGCCCTGCCAGGCCCCCAGGCTCCTGCATGCCAAAGAAGCCCGGCAGGCCCGGACCCTTCGATACACCTTCCCCATAACAACACTGAAGGATAAATTACCAAGTTGTCTCGAAGTAACTTGTTTGTTCAAGCTCTGTCTCTGAACTAAGGAGTACAAGCCTATGAAGAATATGTCTTCTATCGCCCGATGTTAGCGTTCAGGCAATAGACGTTAGGGACATGCCTCCGAATGAGCCGGTCCACCCGATGCCTCGTCCACCAACTATCCTCAGGGGTGCTTCAAGAGCTATTTCTGCCCAGTGAAAGTAAACCCCATTGATCCCCATCTTGGCGAGGAACTCCATCTCTTCACCGTTATTGACTGCAGCAAATGTACGGTTGCCTCGGCCGATAAGTTTCAATTCAAACCACTCCGTCTGTGGCACTGTTGCGTTGAGACGGAAGTGATTGCCGCCAGCAAACATGGTGATGTTGGGAGTTAACATAAGGACCGAATCTCGACCGCTGATGAGCGTTGCATTGTTAGGTGCCTCAAGTGAGTCGATACGCAACGAGACAGTCAAGGTATAGTTACGTCCCTTGGACTCCAGTGGAGTGCTCACGCTGCAGCCACCTGAGATCGACAGCGCTGGTGTTCCTGGAGTGGCATCAAACTCCACGCAGTCCGTATAGGCCGTGTACGAATTGCCCGATGCGTCAGCAATAGCGCCGGCAACCAAGCCTGTTGGTTCCGCAAGCGTGTAGTTGACAATAGTGTCGGACAGGGAAGGTATTACCCGGTCAAGATTTTGTCCCGGAACATGAGGGTGCAGCACATCGAAGGCGCTGGTGAACGATGCCTCACTAAGATTACCGCCCCACTGCTTATCTGCCAAGGCAGGTATGCCTTCACGCCAGGCGTAGTACGCCTCCGAGTAGACCGTGGCATTGTAGCCGTAGTCGTTCCAAAGGGGTACGATGGATCCAAGTACGTATGCGTTTGATGCAGGCGGGTTGTTGGTTACATTACGCTGATCGAAAATGTTGGGCCTCCAGTATTCTCCGTCAGGCGAGCCGTGGAAAGTCTTGGTCAGGTTTATCGTGTTGAGATATCCACCAGGTGGTGCATATTTGTTCACGATGTAGAAATCGTCATTTGAATTGACCACCGAGTAGTTATTCAAAATATAGTCATAAAACGGATTGTCTTCAAAGTATTCCCAGTGTTGGACCGACTACAAGTCCGAGTCAGTAGAGTCTCAACGAAATTTGGGCCCTGGGAGACGAAGCTTCGGCAAGGGAAGTTTTGTACATACCACATTAGGATGCACATTTGTCCAGGTAGAGTTATCTGTCACTCGTGAGTTCACTGTCCACCATAAGTTACCGAGCTGCAGGCAGCCCGGCTGGTGCACAGGCGGTACTCACTGCTGATTCGTTAGTTGTATTGGACCTCGAGACAATGAGACTTGCGGATTCGCATACCATCTAGGAGGAAAGGTTCCCCAAATACGTATAGACTTTCCACTTGTCGTGCCTATGAAAGAATTCATAGCATTCACAAACGTATTGTAGTCAGCTTCAGGTCCCGTGTACTCGTCAGCACCTATCGAAACTACCTTGGTATGGAACCAGGGGAGGAAGGTGGCCCATATATCCTTCATCGTGGGAATCGTCCCGGGGTGAGAAATATTAAGTAAGCTAATGTCGCCGTCGAGACCTAGCTGCGGTTTCCACTGAGCTATCACAAGGGCGTGCCCAGGTGCTTCGATCTCAGGGACCACCGTGATGCCACGTGAAGCACAGCTCGACTGGATCTCGTCAAATGTCAGTCGGTCGTAAGACTCATTGGCGAAAAGATTGAGCCCGGCTACAGCCGACTCCTCGCTCCACAAACGGAACCGCGCGTAAAGCTCAAGAGACTGGTCGATCGTGTAATTGGGGTTATTATAAAGATTGTCACTCAGATGGAGATGCAGAGTATTCTGTTTAAAGAACGACATGTAGCTGCAGAGCTCTGTTAAGAAACCAGGCGGGTAATAGTGGCGGCCAGCATCAAGCATCATGCCTCGTGTCGACCAGCCAGGGACATCGAGGCCAGAGCCAGTGGGCACAGAAGCTGATCCCGAGTCGGCAAGTGATAGTATGGCTTGCTGAAGGATACTCCGAGTACCCCACCACGCCCCAAGAGGCGAGGCACCCGTGATGATTGTACACGACGGACTGACTTCCAGGCTATAACCTTCAGAAGTCTGACGACCACCCGCATCGATATACTCATCAGCCACACCAATGGTCAGGAATATGCTACTCATTGAGCAACTAGTCCCGTTTGATACCTCTGCTGATATGTTGAAGACATCGTGCAAGTCATTAGCAAAAACCACGGCAAATGCAAAAAGTGACGGCGGTATGAGCGTTTGGCCGTTTTTGTCCACCAAATCCGCAAACCGTGTGTCTACAATTATAGATTTGACATTGGCAATGGTAAAGTTTTCGGTTTTATTACTCTGGAACGGTACAGTAGGGATACCGGGCAAGAAGACGCTTGCATGGGCGTGCCCTGATCATATAATTAGCAAAGATTGGGTGTAAACGTTTGCCTCGTGTACGTACCAATTATGGCACCAAGAAATGCCTGCGTGCACTTCATTATGAACGTGCACTGTTCTCGTCGCTGGGAAGTTTCTAATGACAGAGGAAGCCTTACATGCGTTGTCAAAATAACTTTCAGCGCACGACCAAAACAAGCGCGAGGAAATGTAGCAATATCAAGCATGATCGAGCCGCATCGGGAACGTATACGAACAGCTGTGACGATGGCCAGCCTCCACTTTGCTCGCTCCTTTGGTAACGTTACTGACCGATCATTCCTGATCTCAATTGATTGGCTCATCATGTGCCTGGTAGATGGATCCACTGGTTTGTAGCGGGCAGGTGGGGATTTCTTATCTGTCTACCAGTAGTCTGAATACAACCTCAACGTTTCTCCGCAATGCTTTCAGGGTCTTGACCCAAGCTTTTCTCTTGTCTACCAGCGCCTAATTGCGAACCTTGTCTCTAGAACGGAGTCATTTATTGAAACCCGGCTTCACCGTCGCAGAACTTGTCATGAGCTATTATTTTCGCTGATGTTACGAACCGTTACTTCTCATTTTTGACTTTACGATGAACCCAAGTACCACCCAACGGATATGCTCAAGACAACAAGGTGAGTGAGAGACTTCTCGAACAGGATGTCATCCACTGGCACGATGTTCGTTCAATTACCCACCTTCGAATGAAGTCTCTGCTGATACAAGTGCATTAGGTCCAATGCTATGGATATACACAGACGGACCCTAAGCAAAAGCAGGAATACTGCCAGATGTGCTAGGTTCTTTATAGAGACAGCACAATGGCTCCAATTGCCCATTATACATTGCTCAGCAGGGGAAAGCGCCAAGTATTCGACACATTCTTCTCGATGCCATCATGATCCTAGGCCCCTCTCCCCATCTGGAAACTTTGCTTGTTATGGGAACCCTCAATTCCTATACGCTGCACTAGGCTGTAACCCGTGTATAGTTAACTTAAGTATATAAGGGGCGCTGAACTTAAGCCTAACTGGAAGATGGTAGGTTGACAAGGTCATAGAAGTCTGTGAAGCTACCTAAGATATATGCCAAGCCACGTTGTTGGAAGCCATTGTCTGCAAAGCCCATGCGACTTTTATGTTCTTCGTAGCATTACTGAGGGGTTTGCAAAGTTCCGATTGCATTCCCTTAGAGTTTATCCCTGCGATCCCTGCGATCCCTGCGAAAAGGCCATCTATATTGCAATGACATTAATTCCGCAATACTGTAACGTAATATCGGATGTAATTGCCTCTTGCTTACTCCGCTAGGGACAGCAATCTTCTGTGCACGCTCTCATTGTTCCGTGCAACTCATGCCATATCCCAGTTCCCGGCACTACTAACTGTACTTTGTAAAATTGACAAGCCCCCTCACTACCTTACTAAGGGAAGTGAAGATCAGCTCCAATCACACGTCCTTGGTTGGCGAGCATCGTTGCAGCGAACGGAAATCTCGTGCAACGTCATTCCCCTCACCACACGGACCAGTCATGTCCTACATAACTACCCCTCCTCTTTCAAGCCGACCCTATGGTGACACCGCGGGGCAAAGGGTTCAAGTATGGTCGGTCAAGAGAGCCACAAGTGGGCTTTGGCAAGAACAAGACGGGGCGGCTAGATCCCTCGGTATTGTATTGATAGCCTTAACCAATTATTATTGCAGCGCATGGATGGTCTGTCTATCAAATGAGCGGCACTAAGTACATAAACTCCCAGTCTTACTTGTGGATTTTTGTTGAATGAATCCCCCGATGCGAATCTCGAACGCAAGCCTGGCTATTTCCGTGGTCAACATTGCAATTTAAGTCGGCCTCCTGCCGCCCCCCGCCTGACCAAACTTTGATGCAGAGGGTTTGCCATATCAGTACCATATAGCAATTCCTTGAAACCCATAAGTGACTGTTCGCCCACCATGTCACTTTGCAGCATTTACTTCGGTTTCTTGGTACTAGCATGTGCTGCGTTCGCATCCTCACAACTCACAGGTCCGTCTCAGACGCTGTCTGCTTCACCAGCAGCTTTTACGTACAACAATGACAGTTTTCTCCTCAAAGGAGAGCCATATACCATCATTGGCGGCCAGATGGACCCTCAACGCATTCCTTACCAGTACTGGAGGGATAGACTATCCAAGGCAAGGGCCATGGGCTTGAACACAATCTTCTCCTATATCTTTTGGAACAACCTGGAGCCGAATCAAGGAGCCTGGGTGTCCGAAGATCCTCAGAATGAGGTGGCAGAATACTTCAAAATTGCACAAGAAGAAGGATTATATGTTGTTTTGCGGCCTGGCCCCTATATTTGCGGTGAACACGAGTGGGGAGGCTTCCCGGCATGGCTAAGTGAGATACCTGGAATGGAGGTCCGTACCAATAATACGCCATTTCTGGAGGAAACCAAGAAATACATTGCGAATCTTGCGAACAAATCGCACCTTGCTGAGCTTCAAGTCTCGCGAGGGGGGCCGATACTTATGGTACAAGTCGAGAATGAGTATGGATCGTTTGGCGAAAACCATAATTATACGGCGGCCCTGCGGGATATTATACGCGAGAGCTTCGATATCCCTCTGTACACAAATGATGGAGGCGTTGACTGGACGCTCGAAGGTGGCCATATTCCCCATGTTCTTGCAGCGGTTGACGGTGGGTCTTGGGCGTTGCCGGCTCGTGATCTTTATATCACCGACCCTACTGAACTTGGGCCACTCTTGGATGGTGGTTAGTCTTACTTCCCCACTATGCTATTTCTAAATGCAATCTGCTGACCCCTTGCTATCTATTGAAGAATACTACACTTGGGCACCTGATCAATGGGGCTCCCACAATCCTCATAACACCACTGTAGGCAACGCCGACTCCGTGTCAAGCATTCTAAGCGACATTGACTACCATCTGGGGAACTACTCCGCCTCCATTAGCTTTTACATGGTACACGGAGGTACAAACTTCGGCTTTCAAAACGGTGCCATGTGGCAAAACCGTACTACCGTCTTCACAACTTCTTACGACTACGGAGCTCCACTAGATGAGACCGGCCGGACCACGGACTTGTACTTCAAGATGCGTGAGGCAATCCTGCCATATGTGCCTGATGGCAGTGTGCCGGACCCACCGACCAACTTGCCAAGGGCCACAGTACCCCAATTCGAACTCTGTCCGAGTACTAGCTTATTTGAGGCCGCCACAAGTAGAAGAAACGCTGCTTCGCCTCTCACAATGGAGGCCCTTGGACAATCATACGGGTTCACCTTGTATGAGCATACTGTCGTTTCTACCATCGAAGGACTTCTGGCGGTCGGTGATCGACCACGAGATCGGGTACTCATTTACGTCAACGATAGAATCCAGGGAGTGATGGATAGCCAGTACCAACATCCCCTAACAGTCAGTGTCTCACTCCAAGCAGGCGACAAGTTGCAGCTGCTCGTTGAGAATCTTGGCCGAGTCGATTATTACTCGCGAGGTAATCCATACAGAAATTATTTACAAGATCCCTGGAAAGGAGTAAAGGGTGACATATCCATTGACGGATCCATTTTAAGTGGATGGAACATGTATCCTCTGCAGCTAGACTCTGTACCGGTACAGAGATGCAGCAATACATCGGTGGGAAACAAGTCCTTATCAGACTTGCCACGTTTCTTCCACGGATCATTCATAGGTCCCTCAACGTCACACAACTCATCAATGACTCTCGACACTTTCATCACCGTACCGAACGGAATCAAGGGAAACGTTTGGGTGAATAATTTTCATTTAGGAAGATACTGGCTTGTTGGCCCTCAACAGTCTCTATACCTACCAGGTACAGTTGTGAAGCCGGATGAGACGAATGACGTGGTGATCCTAGAACTAGAGCCCTGGCAGATGAACTCAACGTCGATGGTTGTATACGGCTCCCCTGAGAGGTTCTGGGGTAACAATCCGGATCCCGACTGCTTAAAATGCATATAAGATGAAAACCACGCTCTCAGTTCTGTTAGCTTGCCTGTTTAATATACTCTTGTGGTTATTGATTTCTGGCTCTGTTACTAATGTGTTATGAACATATATGTATATATGCAAGGTTCGAGACAACTCTGATTCGTTCTAGCTAGCAGAAGCTTTGTCCATCTCTCCTGTACGAAGATAGTCCGTATATCCTATGCTGTTGTCTTGGAAAGGTCCGTAAAACCTTGAGCGATCATAAGGCGTCAGAGCCAGGCCGTTCTTTAGTCGCTCAACAAGATCGGGATTGCTTATGAACAAACGCCCATAAATCAAGGCATCATATCGGCCACTCTCAAGCACGCCCCAAGAATTCTGGTCGTCAAAGCCGCCAGCCGAAAAGAAAGGTATTTCTCCAAAGATAGCCCGGAACAAAGAAAGATCAACTTGCGGCAGATCCCATGAGTCTAGAAACTCCTTCTTCTCAGACTCAGAGAAGATCTGCTCATAACGCGGCTCAATGAAACTGACGTATGACAGACGTGGGTGCTTCTGCTTCAATTGGCGACATAGATAGCCCCATGTCTCCAGCCGGTGCTCACTGCGCATCTGGTTGAACAACCCAAATGGACTCAGTCTAATCGCAAGGTTCTCTTGGCCGACCGTCTTTGAGAGTTCATCCATGAGCTCAAGCACGAATTTGCATCGTTTTTCGTCCGTACCGCCGTATTCGTCGTTTCGCCTGTTGCTGTTGGAACTGAGAAATTGCTCTGCAAGGTACCCGTTGCCGCCATGGAGCTCAATCCCATCAAAACCGAATTCCATGGCCATCTGTGCCGCCCTACAGTAATCCGCAATGGTTTCCTGAATTCGTCGAACTGATAGCTCAGTCGGTTGATGTTCAACGTATTTCACAAGTGTTGTAGCGTGGGGCGGCGGGTACATGAAGCATTCATTAGGGTCATCCCATGGAATGGCGGACGGTGCGACGATAGGTGTACCAGTCATCTGTGGTATGTTTGCGCGACCAGAATGCCACAACTGTGCATAGATATAACCACCTTGTGCGTGAACAGCGTCGACTACCTTTCTCCAGCCCTCGGCCTGTTCCGCAATAAACATGCCCGGTACGCCTGGCATGCCGTTCCCCTGCTTTCTTTGAGCCTTTGGCCATGATGGGTTCTTGGCGTATATTCATACCTCGAGAGAAGGCGGAAGACCTTCTGATATTATCAATCCTCCATCGGTCGCCCGCTGGGAGTAATATTCCACCATAAGGTCATTTGGTACCCAGACACGGTTGGGGTTCTCTGCAGTCGACTCAGCATTTAAGGGCGTGCCTCGATTCCTGGTTAGAGGTGCCAGAATGACACGATGCTTTAGTTTGATTCTCCCATTTGCAATGCTCAACGGATGGAAGAGCAATGAATCGGCACGACCCCCAAAGGTCTCCAATGATCCCATGCTAAGTCGCTGCTCTAGGCGTTTGTCAAAGGGGTTGTGAGGTCAGGTATAATCAGAAGTCCAAACGTATGGTTCAATTCATTAAGAGTTTGAATCTTGTCCCCTTTCAAGGAAGAGGGATCAGATATGGATTATATAGCGGATACTGTTCGGTATCTCATCGGACCTTCTGTAAACCTAAGGCACTGCCGTGACAGCGTTCTTCTGGCCAGTCACAGTGTTGTTCGATCAGATCCTGCGTCGAGAAGGCGGACAGCAGCACATGTCTAAAGGAACTGAGATATGAGCGTCAGCAAGACTTGTGCACTCTTAATAGCGAAAGGGGGCCCCGATTATCACCGATTCTCCAAACGTACCGGGGCTGTCACCTCTAAGGTGCGCGTGTAAGTAGGGTACCCGTGTCGACGACGGGAGCTCCGACAATCATTTTCCACGTTCATCGGACAGTGGTGGGGTTTCCATCTTATCGTCCAAGCAACCCTGAAGACCGAACTATCTTCTTGATTAGTGATTCGGGCTTCTTGTCTCTGCTTGGCGCCACTCAAAGTTGAGTATCCAGCGGCAGAACAATATCAGATTACCTTACCTTCCAAATCGACTTGGCGTTTGGTATTAGACCCTGCACCATCGGGCCAAGTAGACCACTCGGTCTATGTACCGAACGAGGGCGATCGACTAAATTTTTGACGTTGATGGCTGACCAGAGCGCTCAATCTTCTGCTTCGCATACCTCACTTCCTTGAATAATGGTTTTCGTCCTTCCATACCATTTCCCTACTCACAAGGTGAGCGGGAAATTAAGATAAATCAACCTTGATAAGTTCTAATGTATGGCCTCAATCGCCCACAACCCAAGATACGAGGATCATGTTGAAAACTTTTTTTTTTTCATATAGGTAGCGAGGGAGTGGATTGGCCCTCGCCTTTTGCTCCACCTTTAGCGATGAACTGCCGAAGCTAATTCGAGACTTAATACACCAAGTGAAGTCAAAAATGTTTTATGCAAACTCTATTACCCTGTCAGAACCATTCCTGCGGGTATTGTTTCTTGGCTCGTTCACATCTAGAAAATCCCGAGCGTGTGGAACGGAACTCCCCATCTTGGCACCTCGGGTCTGCGATGCGAAAGCCAACTGCGTGCACTATAACCCTAAGGTGCCCAACTCTCGAGGCGAGGTATTTCTTCACCTGCACATACTATTATTTGGCATCGTTGGTCTTATTCGCAAAGTCTATCCACAGAAAGCCAGCAGCGACTAATAAGTTTTCGTGTCAATGAGCAATGTAAGTCTGGCGTTGTGGGATAGGTCTTCCCGAGCCTGCGCATATTAGTCCCGAGTTTGGTCTTCTAAAAGTTGCCGTAGTGATTTTATTGCAGAGTACCTATATAGATACCACGTGGATGGCATTAGAAAGGCTAATAGCTTCAATGGCGTTGCTTCTTCGCGCAACGTTGTGAAACGTATCTCACGAACACCAATCGAGTATGATAGACGCATTGATTGTCCATTTTGGGAGTAGCTCCTTTACTAAAATCATGATGCATAAATCAATGCTCGTCGATCGGTCTCTAGACTCAAATTGCGAGTTGCTGGACCCCGAGTACCCTGGCATCCATGCAGGGGAATTTCAGGTCCGAGTTAGTTTCAATGATGCTGCCCTGCTTCGTAAGCATAATTGGTCGATCTAATGCGCCAGATAGGTAAGCCGATCGGAACTGGCACAAGGACTGGATTAGAGTGTGAGGCAAGACGATAATGGCGATTGCCCCATGTCTAGTCTTATCATATCTCCACAACATTGGCGATCAGCTTCTGGAAGTGTGATGTTCCCGACGTTGACCTGGAGGCTTCTTCGTGTTTACCGTTAATCATTTCCAATCATGACGTCTCCTTTTACTATGAGCACAGCCCCATGCTAATTGACCCGACACGCCGGGCATACTAAGTTGGCCTGGCGCAGTTCCCATGAATCTAAGGGGGGAGCACAGTAGATCTGTTGCGACAATCTAGTCTAAATGCCAGAACTCATAGCGGAAAGGGTCACCCTTGTTGTCTAATGATGCCAGAAGCAAAGGTTTGCCCAATGTGATTTGCGGGAGTTGACATCCGCTCCAGGTCCATCAGAGCGGACATAAGAGCGGCCTCCCAATCGACAAGCATTCAAACTGCTGTCAAGTTTCCCCGTCTTCGGCGAAAGCATCGCTATACACTGTATCTCGGTCTGTACCTAAGACCAGGCACCTGTCAAATTTGCAATGGATACTATCTACCCAGGCGCAGCAGCGCCGCCTGAAGGGATGTCAGTGAATTTGGACAGCCCTCAGGATGTTCTACGAACCGTCAACTTTGTCACCCAAGGCCTCACGCTTGCATTCGTGTCTATCTTTGTCGCTCTTAGGTCCTATGCGAAGTTGAAGGTCCTGGGAGGCAGTTTCGGCTTTGAAGACTGTAAGTGGCCTTTTCACAATATTGGTATTAAATACAATGACTAATGCTATTATCTTCTAGACGCTACGTTGATCGCTTATGTGAGGATCTATGGCCATCTTTCAGTCGTATATTAATCTCGTCATAGCTTATGATGATAGGGTATTGCATATGTGGCATCTTTCGTAGGTTATAAGTCCCAGTGAGGGACGGCATACTAACACACATGGTTTAGTGAGCGTCCATGGGGGTGGCTTGAATCAATGGGAAGTCCGCAAGGGTGAACTGGAACCATTTTTAAAGTCAGCCTATGCAGTCACGATACACTACGCGCCGATGGCACTCTTCTGCAAACTCGCCCTGCTACTGCTTATCGCTCGAGTGTTTGGATCAGTATACAAGAAGACGATACAGGGGATCTACGTTTTCATGGGCATGCTGGTGGCATACTATGTAGCTGGCCTCGTTATCAAGATTCGCATCTGCTCGCCGATCTCAGCCTACTGGCACAGCGAATACGGAAAGTGTCTCGACCAGTCTGCCATTATCACTGCCGATTCAATTCTGAGCGTCATCAGCGACCTTGCCATTCTGCTGCTGCCCACACCACTCACCTGGTCACTGAACATGCCGAATAAAAAGAAACTACGCGTGATCGGCGTTCTCTGTGCAGGAGGGCTGGCCACCGCCTTCAGTATTTATCGACTGGGTGTTATCATAGCCGAGGGAAAGTCATCGAACCAGACAATCGTTTTTGTAAAAGTTGTCTTATCAGGGTATGTAAGAATTCACCAGTCATAAGGCCTCAGAAACGTTGGAGGGGTGTTGCAAAGATACAGGTGCCAACAAAGAGCTAATGCTGATGATATACTGCGCATCCTAGGAATGCCGAAGCTGGCATTGGTATCATTTGTGCCTGTCTGCCCGCTGTAAACGCTCTGATTATCCGACGCAAGCAGCGATATATGTACTCAGCAACCCACACGCGAAATTACGGACCATCCAGAGCGAACGAGACGGCCGCAGGAACTCGAATCTACGTCAAACATGACTTCCATCTGGAGAGTACGCCAAGGGTGGAGAAAGAGGTCGGGGATAACGCTTTTGAACTGCACAGTGATGATAGCCAACTTGTGGCAAACGCCCAAGCAGACCCCAAGGATAGCTGGTCGACAAAGTCTGCATAACCGACTTCTCGAGATATTGAATATGATATTATCCTTTCCTACCTATCTATGTTGAAAGTGCGTGAATAAGATGGCTGAGTAAGAACAAAGCCATGTCAACTTAGCTGATAGAAACCTTGCGACGCAGTACTGCTCATTGCATCACAAGTGGGACCTGTGCGGAGGTGGTTGAGGCCGCAATTATCGACGTGCTGTGTGACCGAGGATTGGAGAGATTTCAAGCGCTGAACCGCCTATGTTGACGCCAGGAAATATTCGCTACGAATAAGTACGCGCCATTACAGGGCGGAGTCTCCGAAGGGTTCTTGATGTGGCAACATCTAGAGTCTGGGCAGTCGATGATACGGATTCTGTCTGAAAAGACAAAGGAGAGAACTGACAGGTATCACCTATACATGTAGTTCTCATTGTATCGAGCTAAAATATTGTATGTTAAGGAGTGATCGGTCTTTCCAAAGAAGGGACTCGCGGTAGTATGGGCGAATGCAATCATATATTGGATACAAGAGGAAAGTAGTGCCGGTGCCGTCTCTTGGTGGCATCTAAGCGTGTCTCACGTTATGAGGGCTGGATCAGTTAATACCTAGGCCAAGAAAGGCTGGCAAGGAGACTAACTGAGACTTTACGTGAACTTCGGTCTAGCCGGTCAAGCCGGTTCATCGCTGGTGTCTTAGTGTGGCGTGACTCTTTGAATAATGCGCCACGTGGTACAGTCTAGCCATGGAATAATTGAAACATACGAACGCCTCGCCGATTCAGTAAGGATTATGGCTGACACAGGGCCACTTACCTTGCATTCACGATGAATTCCCTTGAACAGCTGCCTCGATGCCAAGGAAGTACCATGAGGGATGGAAAATAGCGTCTGAGAGCGCTGTCCGCTTTAAAATTCCGTAAGTCGCGTTGGACAAATATATAGGGGAAGCGTCCTTTGCGACAAGGATATCTTACCTCAGTTCTTCAATCAAAGTCACTGACTAGTTACGAGATATACTAAAGTTTGTTCCTTCATTAAACCGACAAGATGCGCTCTCACCAAGCATATACAAAGCTAGCTGGCCTAGTAGCCTTCATCCCAATTGTCAAAGCCCACGGCTACGTGAAGAACATAGTCATTAACGGCGTGTCTTACCAGGGCTACGACCCAACCACGTTCCCCTACCAGTCAAACCCGCCTGTTGTGGTCGGCTGGACGACATCCCAGACCGATCTTGGATACGTGGAACCTGCGGCCTTCGGATCAGCAGATATAATTTGCCACAGAAGCGCAAGGCCTGCTGGGGGCCATGTTCGAGTGGCAGCTGGCGACTCGATCGCCATCACTTGGAATACCTGGCCAGACTCACACCATGGTCCAATCATAGACTATCTTGCGCCCTGTAATGGTCCGTGTGAAAACGTGGAGAAGACCAGTCTGAAGTTCTTCAAGATAGACGGCGCCGGGAAGGCAGATGCTGGTGCCACAACCAGCCCCGGATACTGGGCTGACGATGTCATGATGTCGAATGGCTTGACATGGCTTGTTCGAATCCCGCCGAATATATACCCAGGCAACTATGTCTTGCGTCACGAGATCATTGCACTACATGGCGCGAATCAGGTTAATGGAGCACAAGCCTACCCCCAGTGCTTCAACCTCGAAGTTGTGGGTTCCGGTACGGATGCGCCATCGGGCGTCCTGGGTACGCAGTTATACAAGACCACAGATCCTGGCATCCTATACAACTTATACACTACACCCCAGCCGTCGTACACGGTACCAGGCCCTGCTCTTATCCCGGGTGCAAGTTCGAGTGCTTCCCAATCGAGCTCAGTCATAACTGCGAGTGGAAGCGCGACTGTAGGGTACACTTCGGCCACATCGACATTGGCGGCTAGCTCACAAGCTGGTCCAACGAGATCCGGTGTAGGCTCATCCACACCGTCAATGTCTTCTGCGAGTGATAGTCCAACATCGAACACCAAAGGGACTCAAGCGTCGTCTAGTGCTGCCACGTCTAGTGCTGCACTGTTCACTTCTAGAACAACAACCGTTGCAGGCAGCACAAGTACTGCTGCAATGGCAAACCCAGACCTTGTGCCCTTGTATGGCCAGTGTGGGGGTCAGAACTACCAAGGCTCAACGGCATGTGCGCAGCAGAAGGTGGCCTGTAATAAGGTGAACGATTACTACTCTCAATGTGTTTTGGTTCCAGCGTAAGGCGGACTTTAGGAAGGTGGTGCCGGCTTTTTATTCTAACCACAAAACTACCCCATATAAATTCACTACCTTCTTGAATATTTTAGTTCAAATTGTAAGCTACCTGTTGCATTTTAAAATTGCAAGTTTGGACCTACACCCTTGTTTTTGTGCATGCATCAACTTTGCATAAGCATTCAGCGCTCTCAGCTTATATAGACGTCTACGCGTGCACCCATTTCTGCAGCCAGTAAAGCAACGAGGGCACTCTTGCGCTGTGATATACACGGGGTCTCTGTCGAGATTTCCAGCTGTCTGCTCAATCTTATCGTCTTATTAGTGAGCGATTCAGTTTGGAACTGCATCTTCGTGTGTCACAAACGATACTGGTCCGATTTTCATAAGCTGTTGTTTTGATAACTTACGAAATGTCCTAATTACACTTAACGAGTAGATATCAAAACACAAGATTCCTTCTGTCCATTATTGGCGGCTACATATGTCGGTCCGGATACTGCGCTTGATTAACTTTCATAAACAAGTAGGTTTTCATAAATAAACTAATTGTTATTTATTACGATATCTTAATTTAAAACCGCCGACCGGCCGAACGCAGGTCTCAGTTCCCATAATCACCTCCGGCTAAATGAGGGCATTAAGCAATTAAGAAATGAGCGAAGGAGTTGAATAATAACGACCGAATATAAGAGCATAGTGTCGCTTGCTGCGGCGCATCAAAATATGAGTTGGGCGTGGTGTAGCTTTATTCCGTGGATACCTCACGCGGCCAGTAGGATCGTAGCTCGGCGGCATCGACATCGTTTTCAGGAGCCGCATTGCGAGGCCAGTATGAGCGCAGCTCCGCGGCATCGACGTCGTTGTCGGGTGACAGGCCCTGCAAGATACTTAGCTTTCACTCTCAAAGACGGAGATCAGTTCTCATACTCGTGCCTGGACACTGCCGACAGCTTGGACGACAGGCGCAGCCAAGATGGGCTGAATGGCTGCGAGCAAAACCAAGAGTTGAGAGAGGGAAGCCATGTTGAAAGATAGGCTTGTTGGTTTTCAGATATAACGTATATTGGTCAGACCTATGCAGACGTCGAGTCTCACTTGTTTTAAGGGCTGATCCAAGTGGCGCGACATTGAGCCTTTATACTACAACCAGGGGTCAAATTCCACCGCGTGGAGAAATGGACTTAGCTAACGTAGTAAGATCCGTGCTCGCTTAGAATCGCGGTGCACAAACCGGAAGGGAGCATATTCCTCGTTTCGAAGGTCTTACGCCTTTCACTCCAGTTCCTTCATTCCGGGCATACAAAGGGAAACGTTCATGAACAGGCAGGGTCCCTAAGCATAGGATTGGCCCGGTTTGAACGGCAAATCTACCAAGGTATGAGCGCGGCTCAGTACAGATCAACGGTCATATGAGAATAAGGCGAAGACGCAATTCATGGAAGGTAGAGCTTCCTAAATCGGTGTTGGTCAGCATTGCATTGCATATGCAGATTGGTAAACTCGTCACATGGATGATAGCCGTGTGCATGCAACTGGTCACGATAGATGGAACCTGTATGCCGACGCGATTCTACCGAGATAATTGCAAAGAACCCCGGCTGATATATGCCCAACGTGGATCAAACGTGGACAGGGGCAGAGTAGAAGCTGTTGGCTCCTGGTGGCTCGCATGTAGATCGTGCGTATATCCTTGTATACTACATGTTACCCTGGCGCCATTTTCGTTCTCAGTATACTTGGCAAGACCTATGTAGTCCATCACCGCGCTTTGCTTAATATAACATGAGTGGAACCTCGGATTTCCTACTTGTAGCAATCAACTTGCACCGGATCTTCTACTTGTAGTAATCAACTCGCACCGGAATATGACTCATTCCAATGCCATTGACCGTGCCACAATCTAGCCTAACACGTGTTGATCTCGATTCAATCAGCCACTAGTAGGTATTTCTTTTGCACATGCGCGGCCCTTTAATTCTCCTCTGTTTCACATTGCTCAGATATGAGGCTTCTGTACCCTGTTATTCTCCTCTATTCTTGGCTCATATCGTTCTCTATTGCTTGAACCACGCCGACTTTATACCATGCTCTCCTCCATTGATACTAGGTCCTCTGCGAGGTACCAGGAAGTCTGTCAGGGCGACTCACTATCGACTGTCATCAGACAATCCGATGGAACTGGGGAACAAGTTCTTTTTGCCAAGAAACCTATGTGGAGGTCACTGTTTTTATCGCTTCTCTGGCTTGCAACCCTGGCCACTGCCTTTCTAACAGGACACATCTTAGCCAAGAATTCCATCGGCGCCTGCCACTATAAAGACTCCGATCTTGCATGGCGTAGGAATTCCCTTCACATTCCGGGCGGTCTGAGCCTCCACAGCTAACCATGCTGCTTAACAATAGGCCCCTCGAGAAAACTTGCCCGTCGGCACTGGCATCGCTACGAAGGTTCCATCAACATCACCAACATCTTCAAGGGTGCACCACGCGCCGAGATTGACGCGGCGTGGGATCGTTTCACTCAAAGCAGTACGTGCCGATAGACTTGCATATCATATCATATCATATCATGTCACGTCAAATCTACTAACTATCGTCTGCAGAATGGATTGATGGTACTTCAGTTGTACTTACCGCCACCGACCAAGAAATGAAAGATTCGGGCAACGCCAACTTCCCGGCAACCGTAGCCGATCTGGGTGCAGAGAATGGCGGTGGGGCCATGGCTACGCTGGAGATGTTTCATCAGCTCCACTGCCTGGTAAGTTAGTTATACAGCTCTAAGCATGTCTCTGGCTCTCCATCGAAGAAACTTGTTGACGCAAGTTCATTTCCCCCCGCAGAACTTGCTTCGAAAATGGACATATGTGGACTACTATAGCACCCGGGACCATGCGTGGACATTTGACCGCGCCGACTCGCTACGGAGACATACAGACCATTGCATTGATATATTGCGGCAAGTACTTATGTGTAATGGTGATATGGGGCTCGTGATGTTCCATTGGGTAAAGAATGTTGGGCCGGCACCATATCCCGATTTCAGCACCCTTGTGAGTAGTCAAATCCTGGTTTCATATGCTCTTGCCCAGAGGACGGATCACTGATCACTGATCAATGAAAAGCACCGATGTCGTGATCCTGTGGCGATCTTGGAAACAGCTGAGAGACATGCTGCCCCGATTGTCAGACCCGTGACCAAGACATCCGTGGCGCATGAGCTGCCAACTTTCCCTTAATTCGGCAGCACCAATTGGCGCAGGTGTGGAGTGCCGTTGCCTTGAATATACAACGTCTATATCCTTGACTACTAGCGTCGTCCTAATTTGACCTATCAGTGAGTTTCGCATAATCAGGATCAGTTGCCACCTGCGTATGAGTTGAAACGCAAGGATTTGGTCAGGTCGCGTCCCGATTGGTAGTTCTGGCCTTGACACTGTCAGCCCGTGAGGATTTTTCATTATAAGTTCAGCCATCCCTGCACAGATTTTTGGCATGTACTGCAACTACTCTGTGAGTACATTTGATGTACACTTGTTCTTACGCGCGTAGGGATCTAGGCCTTCACGATTTTGACTTGGCTGCATCTGTGCCACAATTTATTGGCCCGACCCCCTGCAATGCATTCAAAAGCCAAGACGATTTTTCAGCTACCATGCATGGTCTGTTACAACAACACCAGGCTATCATCAATCTTAAAGTTCTCGCTTGCCATAATGGAGCATTTCCGCCGGAACAGCTGGCCTCTTCCGGATCGACACAGGAGCCGAGCGGCCCGAACATAGGCGGCAATTCACCATTTGCGGCTGATCACGAGACCCCAAGCAAAGGAATCAACCAGCTCCAAGTAGAGGCAGTGTAGCCAACACTATGTGAAAAAAAGTTTTGCCACCGTTAGTGCCACATATTATGCACGTATGGAGATACTAGAAGAAAGCCATAATGTAACTCTTAGGAAATGTTGCTCTAAATTAACCATACAATTGAACCATCCCATACTACAATGTTCATCGACCTACGACATATCAAGTTCACGGGGTATGCCTGCCCTGGGATCATGGGCTTAGAAGTTGCCACTGTTAGTCAAGTGGCTTCTCTCTCTTTCATTCCACTCTTTGTAGTCTCTCGACCTGGCCCATTTCTGTAAGTTCTCAAACTTGCGGCATGTCTGCGTAGACTGCATATTCATCATCCACCTACTGTCATCAATGTCTCCATTCCAATAGTAGTAGTTCGCGCCTATATTTCCTGCACATTGAACGTTTTGACGCAGGCGCTCGATGCAGTGGCCTGTATGCTAGTCAGAACTCTGGGTCTGTTCCTAAGTACTTGAACAAAGGCGGTTGGGACGTACTGCGGTGGACTTCCCAAAACTCGTCTCGAGTACCATTTGTATGGTAGAGGGCATACTCAGGGAAGCGTTCTGAGAATAATGTCTTCCTCATAGCATTCTTGCCAGTCGTCAGTGAGGTTGAGAATGTATCTCCAGAAAAATCATGGGAGCATACCAGGCAGTGAAGCTGGTGGAACACTTCAAGGTTATAAATCCCACTATCGCCATCAGGACCTGGGACTGCCACTGTTTGATTCGGCATTTTCTTTGTTTCCTCTGGTGTGAATAATAGATAGCCAGTACCTGCACTTTATTAGGGACATCAAAAGTTGACGGGTATTAGGCATTACCCGAGTAAAGCTCATCCCAGAGTCGATCTTTCTCATCCGTTGGCTTTCCAAAGTATGGAGACCATTCTCCTGGCAAATCGTTGAAAACTACTTCTTCGTACTCGACAGCGGCAATTGCTGGGGCTTACAAATCGTTAGTGGAGTTCCTGGTCAATTGTTGGCTGACAATGAATGGAATAACAATGCTCACAATACGTCTGTAGACTCGGATCGCGACAGTGGTCTTTGCTTATAAACAATACCACGATACAAATCATGGACATCACGTTCGTCAGATACAATAAACCAATGTGACACCCTCGGGATTGGCTATGGCTAAGAGATCGACATCTCTGCACACTAGTCCATATCATGTTTTCAGACGAAGAATATCCAAGAAGAGTGTTCTTTTCTTCGTCCATGTCGACCATATCTAAAGCTGTCATGAAGAATAAAGAGGCAGTGGTAATAGAGGTTGATTTGAATTCAAACGTAAAACGGTAGAAAGATTGCAAACAGGATCAGACTGAGGTCTCATGCGCTGTTCACATCATTATTCTTGATATGGTGGGCGTGCTGTTCTGTCACCGTTAGGGAGTAGGTTAAGTTACGCCGACAATTCAATTTTCATTACATGATATAATGTATGTGTTCTGTTGGATTGAATGCGGATCCATCATAGTCAGTTGCCAGATCGTTTCCATGGCCTAACTCAATCTGCCACGGCTCCGAAGCCATTTTCTTGGCCGCGAGCACGTCCCCTGGTTGGATGCCATGGTAGGGTTGACATTTGGTGACCAGGCATATATGACTCAATGGCATGCGCCAAAAGGATTCCGTGAGGGGACTGACACCCTGCATGGTGGTGGCGTTGGATTTTTGTAAGCATCTCGAACGACTGGTAACGACAAAACGCAATCATGGGTCGATGATATGGCAAAGGACAACGCATGCATCTTTCTCCCGGAGGAACATCCAAACAAGAAGGCTCCGGTGTTGGCCCATACTGGGAGACGCATCCGGCCATTAGAGTTTTAGTCGGCATGCAACCGATAGCGGCCCTGACTAAGTACCCCATATCCCATGTGCCAGGAGTCTGAAAGCGATTGGACCAGTCGGGCCGTCCATATCTTGGCAACCTGCGGCTCACGATCCCGTACAACTTCAATCAGCCCGTGGTGCCTAAAACGCAATGCCAGAAGCCGAGCATTTCGATCATGGCCAGGCCCTTGTCTTTACGAGACATCATATAACTGAACGCATGTCTTTGCGACCCAAGTTTCTTTTCAGGGTCTTCGTCATTCCCACGTCTGAAAGATAGATCGCCCAGATTTCACTTGCAACTTCAAATAATCCCACTGCTCTCCCACGTCAGTCATCTGCAAGCCACAGCTTCCCAGTCTGTCAACATGGTCGGAAAATTCCCTTGGTCAGCAGCTTCTTGCTCATTCTCGTGGTCGAAACCTGCCTATTACCCTATAGGATCTAATTATGCCGATGATCAACTCACCCAGACCAGCAAAGAGTCAGACATATCACCATTGGTGAAACAGAAACGACTGAGGATCTGGGTCATCGTCTGTCTCATGCTGACGATTGTTATTCCGGCCGTTGTGTTGGGGTCCAAACTTCCACTGGATACCAGAACAGGGAGGAAGGAGCCATTTGTTCCTAGTTGTGAGCACCATTTCAATACCGACTTGACTTAATGTTCCGAATAACATCCCCACTAAAGTATATGTAGTCGAGACCCATAGCGTCACATTTGACCTTCAGGAGTTGTTCGCAGCACCCCCCTCGAAAGATAGCAATGCGGCCTGGGACAACTTGATCCCCGGTGAGCGATTACTGTTTCGTTCTTCTTTTCCCTCAAGTTGTGTCGCTGAACTATCAGCAGACGGTCATGGCTATGTCCTCGTTCCCGAAGCTGCCGAACGATATGGTCTTGCACCTGGGATTCAAACTGACGAGGGAATAGATCGCTATTCAGTGACTGTGTACCATCAACTTCACTGCTTGGTAAGCCTATTCCAAGGCTTTCTTGATGCAGCTGTGTACTGTGACTAAGTCTGGATAATCACAGGGCATGATCCGTATCCTTTTCTATCAGATGGTAGCGATTGCCAACCATACTACCCCTCGCCATTTTTACCACGGTACTGACAAGGATAATCATGATCCGACGCCCTTTCCTGATCATGTGAATCACTGTTTCGACTATATCAGGCAATCTCTAATGTGCTCTGGAGATATGACACTCGAACACTCGAGGGAGCCACCACTCGGGGAGAAACGTACTGACACGGATGGATGGGGTGTCGAGCATCAGTGTAAAGATTGGGATGCTTTGGTAGGATGGACTTTGGAGCACAAAGCGAAACATAATTTGACAGGCATTCTTGGATAGGTGTTGGAAATAGGTGCCGGAAGCAGCTGTAAGAATGACTATGACGGGGCTGCGCTCTCAGAATGCGATTGGCTAGAGCCGATTGACAGACAAACCGTATACCCGAACGTAATTAAACACTTGTTTTACTCGTAATTGTTTTGCATGTTTCTCTCTGTGCTGGAATCAAGTTGGCAAGGTTATCCCGTAGAACCGCAAACCTCATCTTGTAGGAGTATACCCTAGAGGACCCCCGACGCAAGAGCCTGGACCATGCGCAATCACTGAATTCTTGATGTAGCCTTACGCTTGATACCAGCATATACCGTCAGACATCACCCCGCTTGGGGAGTTCAGCTAGTGCGACTCTGGAAAGGTACACGCATGCTGCGCACCGTCCTGCTGTGCCGCTCGATCTTCAAGGATGTTTGCATTGGCGACGGCCAGATCTATTGGACGCAATGCTATCACAGGCAGGTGCTTAGTACAGATAGTGATAATGTGAAGGCCGAGAATTCTAGGCTCACTTCGACGTCGCATTACATATGCAGTTTTATCGTACGATATGTATGGGTCCCGTTGGCTGAACTTTCTTGGCGAGTATGAAAGAGGAATAGAGTTGTCTGGGCGCCAAATCACTTCTTGGCTTAACAATATAATCTGTGGGAAGGGGGTACAATGTGGTCGGTGGTAACTACCTGCGATGCAACTCGCTCTTTGCGAAATACTCGGGGCATCAAAGAGCTGGGTCGACCCACCAGTTATACAACAAGTCTGAGTCACAATACTGATACCATGAACATCATGAAGCACTGTTTCGAAGTGGAGGACACGACCAACGATGCGAGTACTGTCGAAGCAGAATTGTTTTTGCCTCAGTCTGACACTCGGAAACCAAAAGTTTCATTACAACATCATGGACTCATCGCATTTTTATAGGACTAAACGCTGGTGCCATTCTCTTGATTTACTTACTACTAAGATCAAAAATCTCCGGACCGCCTTTCCCCAGTCCGTTTCCCTCCGGTTCGTATTGCCCTCATCCGGGAAGCTTCAGGCCTTGACTAGCTGATCTTCGTAGTGGACTATGAAATTCGGTCGTTTTCCGAAGAGTATAGCAGAGACGGCTCAGTACCAGAAGTATGGGACACGAAAGCAGACTATCCGCCAGGTGAAGGTTACACGTTTATTGAGAATGCGGGAGCATATGCACTTCCTCCTGGTGTTGTGGTCAATGGAAAGGCCAATCTGTACGGCACCGCTTGGACTCACCAATACCACTGCCTGGTTTGTGAAGGAGCAGATATCCCCTGGATCACGTAATTCTAGAGCTAATATAGTTGTTGCAAAGGAATATATTCACGCGATGTACGAAGCTACTGTCCACAACACCACACTCGAAATACGCAGCCCGCATGGCGACGAAGACGAAACAGAGGCAGATCGGGGAATTCATCACATAAGACACTGCTTTGACTACCTGCGACAGCATATTATTTGCACGATGGACATGAGGCTGGAGTATCCAACCACAAACCCGAGAGGAATCAATGGATACGCTATTCCTAGGAAGTGCGTGAAGAGGGTGAGGAAATGTTTCTAATACTCACGAATCACGCGACCGTAGCGCCGCTACAGTGGTGAAGCTGATTGGGTTTATAGGAGCCTTTGGACAAGTACATGGGGCAAAATCTTCCCCGTGAGGTCAAGAGCCCCTGACCTTTGATTTTGCCGCGGATAGCTTAGCTAGGTCGTGAGCAGCCTGCCCAAGTGTGGGGATGTGAGTTTCACACCTGATGTCAATAGCGAAGAATCGAGCGCAGTCACCATCATCTCGGGGAGGCAACAGGCACTGTCGTTAGAGCCAAAAAAAAAAAAAAAAAAAAAAAAAAAAGAAGGGTACCAAATAAAGATCCATGATGTACCTCAGAGCTGAAGTACTTAAGTTTTCGGGTTTTGGTAATTTCATTACCCAGGAGGACGTAGTCACGTGATAGCCCTTAATCTATGGATTCTCGCGGGCGCTACCGTTGGCGATCGCGACTCCATCGCTCCCCGTAGAATTGAGTGTACATTGAATCTGCAGCTGAATTGATTCGGCTCTGAGGCCTCTGGTCCTCAATTGATCGGACCCTGGCAAAGAGCACCCATTGATCCGATTTCAGGGCGCGTAATCTCGGAACGATCTCTTCCAAGTCTTGGCGGCTTGCCTTGGGGTATCAATGACAGCTGAGATCTTGGCAGACCACAACGACCTGCCATACCTGCAGCCAGGTGCCAGGAACTGCACCAATCATGTAACATGCCCAGTCGATAAGAACAAGGTTCATATTGCTTGTTAGATCACCTCATCCGGGGCTGCACCCCTTACCCGACCCATGCGTCCTCTCTCTAACTTCACGCGTCGCAGCAGATACGTTGCCGTTGGGGGAGCTTTTAGACCACAGTTTCACTCTCATGTGATGCTCAAAATCCCATACTTCTTAGAGCCTGTACTCAATTTGCCAGCTTTACGTGATTGCCCCCTGTGAGAGGTTCTGTTCAGAATGAACGCGAGCGACGACACCTTTGGGCCTCGCCTCGAGGGCGAATTCGACTTCACTTTGCTGTTTGAACAAAGCATATTGTCCATCCTCCCCTCCGTGTTGCTAATTTGTGTCGCTGCGGTGCGCATTGGATGGTTATGTCGCAGACAAGTTCAAGTTCCGACTGGAACGCTTCTGGGAGCAAAGTTGGTATGTTCAGACTCGGCTCGAGTGCACGCCCTGGTCACATCAATACTGACGGGGCTCTCCAGGGCATCGCAGGTCTTCTGATGTGCTTGCAGCTTGCTGCCCTAGTCCTATGGTCTCTATCAAGCAGCCTACCAACACGTACATCCATTCCCGCCGCCACGTTGTGCTTGATCGCATCCGGCGTCATTAGCGCCCTAATCTATGTCGAGCACAGACGCTCAGTTGGTCCCTCGAAGATTCTCTCGGGTTATTTGTTTCTAACAACCCTACTCGATATCGCTCAGGCCCGGACCCTGTTCCGACGAGCCGAAGTCCAGCCTCTAGCTGGGGTCTTCGCGGCCAGCCTATTGTGCAGACTCGTCTTACTGTTCTTGGAAGAGATTCCTAAGAGATCATTGTTACCGCCCATACTCAAAAACATTACGTCTCTCGAGAAAGCAAGTGGTCCACTAAACCGAACCGTATTTTGGTGGCTGAACGGTCTTTTCCGCCAGGGGTTCGGAGGATTGCTGTCTCTGGGAAACCTGTCCATCATCCACGCCAAGTTCGCATCACGGCCGCTTCAAGAAAGTCTGAATCGGGCATGGCAAGAATGTAAAGCTCTCAATCTTAGTTGATTATGTGTACGTTGCTAATATATCGATGCTACAGGCAGCAAGCGACAAAAGCATTGTCTTACCATTGCCACTTTCTACACTTTCAGGTCGACGTGTGCATTGGTTGTGCTGCCTCGATTATGTCTTTCGGGGTTACGGTTTGCCCAGCCATTTCTTATTAAGAGAGTTGTTGAATTTGTCAGCGAATCATCTACAGATGAGACGAGGGGGGTAGCTGGAGGGCTGATTGGCGCTACAGCGCTGGTATACGTTGGAATGGCCGTAAGATACTCATTTACTGGGCTGTTCATACAAACTACTCACGCAATACTAGGTCATGCGTGCTTACTATCAGCATCTCAACTTCCAGCTCACGACAATGATTCGTGGCGGCCTTGTTGCCTTGATATTTGAGAAGACTTTGAGAGTCGATGCAGCGAAAGCGCGGGAAGGCGACGCCATTAGCCTTATGAGTGCTGATATTGAAGGAATTGAACCTGGAATTGGAATCGTTCATGAAGTCTGGGCGGCCATGGTTGAGCTTGGAATTGCCCTTTACTTGCTTGAGATACAGGTCGGAGCTGCATGCTTCTTCGTGGTCATTCCCGCTACTAGTAAGTACTATACTCAGAATATTATGAGCCATATGGGACTGACACATCGAAGCCGCTTGGTTGATAACGTCCAGACTGATGAAAGCAATGCGCCCCGCGAGAATGATTTGGGGCAAAGCAATTAAGGAACGGGTTTCTGCTTCATCGGCGATGCTCGCACAGATCAAGTCGCTAAAGATGATGGGTTTAACCCATTATATCTCAAGGTCCATCCAAAATCTCCGCGTTCATGAATTAGATGTGTCGAGGAAGTTTCGGCTGGCACTTATACGCATTCTTACAACAGGTGAGGGAGTATCCAATGTCGGATCATGACTTGAACAAAAGCATGCACCAGAATATAAAGAAGCTAATTTTTCACTAGGACGACTCGCGGATCAGATGACACCCGTTATTGTGATCGCAGGCGCAGTTTTCTGGACGAAACGCACCGAGGAAGAGGAGTTCACCGTAGCCGAAGTTTTTGCTGCCCTAGCCATCATCTCATTGGTTTCTTCGCCCATCTCACAGCTCATCTCTTGTCTTCCCAATATAATGGCCTCCGTTGGCTGCTTCGATCGCATCCAAGAATACCGTAAGCATAATTGCGAGACATCTTCCTCCCCCTTGCCTTAACTTTATGGTTTAAGAGACAAGTGTCACAGGAGTTCGACATAGAAACAAGTGTTTCATGAGCTGAAGATTCCTACAATTGGTCCCAGAAAGAAAATAACTGACTCCCGATGGTGCAGTATTGGAAGAGGACGTTGATGATTCTGGCTCTCATCTATCATCTTTGCAGTACAGCACGGGCCCCGGAAACGCGACCTGTCTCCCGTTGGATACCCCTGTTGAACTGATCGGGCTGAAGCCGCAGGAGTTTCTTGGGACATCGAATCCAATTGCGGTTATTGTCAAAGATGGAACATTCACGCCTTCCGATGCAGACTCACCCATTCTGCACAAGCTTGACCTATCTATTCATCGGTCGTCTTGTACGATGATCATTGGTGCAGTTGGCTCGGGCAAAACAACCTTACTCAAAGTCATACTTGGAGAAAAGACTTTGTCGGAAGGCTGTATTCGGATCGATCGCAATCAACTTGCGTATTGTGACCAAACCCCGTGGCTTCGGAACGTATCGGTGCGGAAAAACATTATTGGCCCCTACGCTGATGACGATTCGTGGCTTGCCACCGTCGTCCGAGCTTGTGCGCTTGAGAAGGATCTTGCTCTGCTCCCCAATGGTGATCAAACCCTAGTCGGAAGCGGGGGAGTTGCCTTGAGTGGCGGTCAAAAGCATCGCGTAGTGAGTGCTTACACTAATCTCAAGATAAATATAGCAGATACTTACCTCAAGCAGGCTTTAGCACGGGCCGTATATTCACGCAAACCTATTCTCGTCCTGGACGATATGTTAAGCGCCTTAGATAACGCGACCGCCGCATTAATTCTAAAGAGACTTCTAGGAAAGGATGGGCTTCTGTGCTCAATGGGGGTTACAGTCATCCTCGCAACACACTCAGGTAAGTTGATAACGCCAATGGTGTTGCAGGGAATGTGACGTATTAACTTGTCTTGAAACAGTCCACCACCTGCCTGTCTCTGACTTGATCATCGTTTTAGCCAAACCTGGCCACATCGCTCAAAAAGGCAGTTTCGCCGAATTGCAAAGTCAGAATGGCTATGTTCGAGATCTAGCTCTAGATCAGAGCTCTCAAGCCAGATGTGAAGATGATGAAAGCATCGAGAACGAAGCGAAATCTGTACCACAGGCCGAGCCTGCAAGAGAAGATCCTGAATTGTTGGATCTCAAACGGCAGACAGGAGACGTGAGTCTGTATGCGTTCTATCTTAAGTCCGTCAGCGCTACCATTGCACTTTGCTGGCTAGGTCTAGCCGTTCTCTACACGGGCCTCTCCAAGGTACCTGGTAAGTGTCTATGAAACCCCATGTACGACTATGTTCTCTAAAACTTTCTAAACCCCCAACCAAACTTTTAGACGTATGGGTTCGAATATGGGCTGAACAGGGGATGAACCACAATTCCGGCTACTACTTCGGATCCTACTTTGCTTTGGCCTTTTCGTGTGTATTGGCATCGGCCCTGAGCGTTAGGTGAGATCTTGTTACCCTATATCCCAAGCAAGTGCCCAGAGCTGATGTGTTGAGAAGTTTCTTTATGCTAGTCATTGTACCAAAGTCGTCTCAGCACCTTCATTGGTTGTTCCTCAACTCGGTGATGAAGTAAGTAGCCTCACTGCGATTCCAAGCCCCGTTGACTCATAAGTATTCTTAGGGCACCACTGTGGTTCTTCACCACTACGGATAGCGGCGTGACCCTAAACAGGTTCGCTCAAGACATGACGCTCCTTGACAATCGACTGCCCGTAGCCGCATACCACACTCTATACGGTCTGTTATCCTGCCTCCAGCGAAATATCCGATTGAAAGAGCTGACATGCTATCCATCAAGACATCCTGTTTGTCCTACTCAGTACTGCCTTGATTGCTGCTGGTGCACAGTACGTGGCAGCAGTAATACCTATCAGCGTCATTGTCCTATACTTCCTCGCAAGGTACTACCTGCGCACATCCCGACAGATACGATATCTTGATCTTGAAGCCAAAACACCTTTGTTTACCCTGTTCGCCGAAGCGATCGATGGCCTGACTACTATCAGGGCTTTCGGCTGGAAGCAGCCATTCCTCGAGGAGAACTTGAGACTTCTCGACGAATCGCAGAAACCTTATTACCTCTTGTTCTGCATCCAGCGTTGGCTCGCCGTCGTCCTCGATCTGTTCGTGGCTGCTATTGCGATCGTCCTGGTTGCCTTCGCCGTGGAATTCCGCAACACAACAACACGAGGTGCCATTGGCGTTGCCATGATCAATATCCTCGGGCTCAATACAGAGCTGTCCGAGCTCGTTAATAATTGGGCTGATCTGGAAACCTCCCTGGGTGCTATTGCTAGATTGCGTTCCTTCTTGCAACATACGCCAAAAGAGGACAAGCCTGGCAGAGACGGGCGCGTGGACGCGGCCTGGCCTTCCCGAGGGCTCATAGAGCTGAAGGGTGTCTCGGCAGCTTATAGGTTTGTGACTATATGAAGTCCTCCAAGATGAATACTGCGACTAATTCATCCCAATAGGGCTAATGACAACCTTGTGCTTCATAATTTGTCCCTCACTGTGCTACCTGGACAGAAGATTGGAATCTGCGGTCGTACCGGAAGGTAAGCATCCACAGTACTGGACGAGGGTAAGCATAATACATGCAGGGCACATCCGAACTAATCAGCATTGCAGTGGGAAGAGTTCCTTCATATTAATGCTCCTCTCTCTCCTCGAGCTAGAATCAGGCTCCGTCCATATTGATGGTCAAGATCTCTCCAAAGTATCCAGGGACTTGCTACGAACCCGCATAGCCACCCTGCCTCAAGATTCCATCAAGTTATCTGGCAGCGTGCGTCAAAATCTCATGGCTGCTGAGGCGAGTCTCTCGTGCCAAACCGCCGGCAGATGCAACGAGAACGCGCGCCTGACACTGGCCCTGACAAAAGTCGGTATGTGGGACTTGATCCAGGAGCGCGGCGGCCTCGATGCAGACTTCAGCGCCATGGACCTGTCGCAAGGCCAACTGCAATTGTTCTGTCTTGCGCGCGCCATACTCCACGGCAACAAGCGTTCTATCGTACTTTTGGATGAATCGACGAGCAACACCGACCGGGAGACGGACCAGCGGATAATGCATGTTATACGCGAGGAGTTCAAGCACTGCACTGTCATTACCGTTGCACATAGGCTAGAGACTATCGTGGATAGTGACCTTGTCGTTGTCATGAACGCAGGCAGGATCCAGGAGGTTGGGGAACCAAAGGTGCTATTAGGCCAAAAGGAGTCTAAGTTTAGGATACTGTGGGATAGTCGAAACGCTTAATAACCGAGTGCCGAATTATTAAAAGGGAAGATAATTAACGTTTAAATTAACCGTTAATATTTAAACCCTTAATTAATTTTTATTTATACTTTAATATATATAAATAAATAAGTTAATATAAATAATTTTAATTATAAAAGCGAGAATAAATATAAAAATAATATTATAATATATAATATTTTTATTTACGAAAATTAAATTAAAAAGGGTTAGGGTTAGGGTTAGGGTTAGGGTTAGGGTTAGGGTTAGGGTTAGGGTTAGGGTTAGGGTTAGGGTTAGGGTTAGGGTTAGA